CTGAGAAAATTTTTCAGTAAAAAAGCCCCACAAAAATATTGTCTGATAAAAATTTGTATGAAAATCTTATTCAGACAATATTTTTGTGGGGCTTTTTTACTGAAAATTTTTCTCAGAGGCACTTCATTTAAAAACAGAATTACGTTTCATTATTCCGCTTGCCCATTCAATTAAAGTTCGAACTTTAACGAAGAATCCCAAAAAAATCCACATAATTAATGAAACCTTCGGATGTTTTGATGTAAAACATCATTATTGGGCCCAACAATTTTCATAGCAACAAAAATATCCACTAGCAAAAATTTTGACTTTGAACTTTAATTAAAGTTTGAGCACTTGGAATCAGCATTAGACCGTCAAATCTTCATAAAAAAAATGAATAATAATAAAAAATTGTTTCAATTGATTTTTCGATAATTTCATGAAAATTATAGTGTAATGGTTCTTCTGAATATGGCAAATCTTCAATCATATTGAATAAGATTCATTTTCTGGAAAATGAATTGGAATTGCAACGGCATAAACCTTCTTACTTTCCAGAATTTTGGTGTATGTGTAGTGTATGTTCGTATAGCATAGTGTTTTGCATAGCATCAAATCTGATGTATCGAAAGTTTCAGTTAGAACATAGAACACAATCACAAGTAAGTCTTGTTTGATTGAATTATATCTCCGAAACTATTGTCTATAAATTTGAGATTTAAAAAACTTTTGGAAGATATTGCAATTGAAAAAAAATTAGAATAGATATTTTATCTATAATACAATTAAAATGATGATCCAATCTACGTTGCACAATTGAACCCGTGAGCATAAAAACGACTTATTAAACAATCGCCGAACAAAACGATACAAGAAAAAACTACCGAACAAAACGTACCACAGCGGTAATGTGTAGCACAGCGGAGTTTCGTTTTGAACGGTACCGTCCTGCTGTGTTACGTTTTTAACGTGTGTTTTGTTTGGTAGTTTTTTCTTGTATCGTTTTGTTCGGCGATTGTTTAATAAGTCGTTTTTATGCTCACGGGTTCAATTGTAGTTAGAATATTTCCCATTTTCATTTCCAACAAGTCAATTCATGTGACATGGGTATTATTGAAACTAATTGTTTACAGACGGTGTTTTTTGAATTTAATTTTGCAACTAGAACATCAAATAATTGAAAGAAGATAGAAAAAGGGAGACTGAAAAACGAAAAAAAAACCGTATAATGTGTATCGAGTCGAAAAAAATCTTTAAAAAATGTCTACAATTTATTTGGCAGTCGGACTTTAAATTTAAAATACAGTTTTTATTGCATTTTAATAAAAAAATTCCAGCGATAATAATTGATTGTGCGCTTCCATAACGCACCCGTGTAAAAGTCTAAGAATGCCCCCATATATCGCTAAGATTTTCATTCATGATTGACGATAGTGCCATATTTTAAATGTTTAAAAAATACAAGAAAAAGAATTTACAGAATTGTTTGTATCGATTGATAAATCGATCGGAAATTGAAACGAAATGAGCTGCAAGTGATTTTTCCAAAGTTCTAATTATTTTGGTAATGGTGGTCGAATATATTAAGAAATTTATAAATGAAATGTCATGAATATCGGCACCACATACGGCAAAAAACTGGACTTTTTAATGAGACGCAGCATTGACAATCGTTTTTTCTATTATTTTTTTATGCGTATACAAAATATTACTGCTCTATTGTATATAGAATCTTCTTGTTGTTATTGTATTTCTTATCGTGTGCAGCGCTCTTGTCCTTTTGCCTAGGTATAGTATAGTAATGGTTGTGATTTTACATGCGGTGAATGGCAATTTCACCATACTGCCACTTTAAAAAAAAAAATTCTAAAATATTTGTTTTCTTTCAAACTCTCTTTCTGAACAGCTCATTAATCTATCTGATTCGCTTTAAATATTATACTCCAATCTTATTAACTGGTATTTGTTCTTTTTTATATTCATAAATTACCCCCACAGAAAAAAATATTCATTTAGCTGGCTAATGCTTACGCTGAAATGCAAATCAACTATTTTCGACAATTCATTTGAAAACTATATATGTACCCTATTATTATACTTTCCATTCAATTATAATTTACTCTCAAATATATTTGTGTGTGTGTGTTAGATTTTCCATTTTCATTTTACTTTAATATTAGTGAATAACACATCGACAACATCGATTGTGGTATGTTAGTGAAAAATATATAAGTAAATCGTACGAGTCAGTGCTGATTCCTGATCGACATCACACTTTCTCAGGTTTCATGTCAACGAATAAAAGATCAAAATTTTGTTTTGTGTGTTTGAGAGTTACATAAAACATCGAATTGCTTGTAATCGGCTTTTATTTTTGTTTTTTCTTCTTGTGTTTGAGTATACTTCCTTTTTATTTATAACACACATTTATGAGAATAAAATTTCAAATCTATTATTCATTATTCGTTTTGTTTTGTAGGTGCCTCACTTAGACTGTTTTCTTTTAAATAATAAAATTAGTGTTCATTTATCTGTAGTTGAAATAGATGCTTTTTTTCGTTTTATTTTTCTCCTGCAATTAACATTATCTTTTCTTTCGAATTTATTAGTTATTTTAGGATTATTTTCTGCATGTAGGTTTTGCTACAGTTTTGTTTGTTTGTTCGTTTGCTTTGTGTGTGTGTGGGTGTGTTTATTTTTGGTTTTATAAATCGATCTATGCGAATATGGATATAATTGATTTCATTTCATTTCATTTTTTATAGTTTAAAGAGATTTAATGATATTGATTAGATGCTCTAATTGACGCTATTACAAAATAGCGTATTTAGATAACAAAAATGATCTTTTCTTTATTTTAATTCTCATAACGTTTTTCCTCTTATGAAAAACAGAAAAAATGTCCATATTACAAACCATCATCTGAATTTAATGTGAAATGGTCTCAGGCATAGAATTCACGATTATTTGCATTTTTAGCATATGAATTAACAGCTGGTGATCGCTTTGGCTCATCTAATGCATAGCTACCCTCGTCCTTTTTTCGCATCCGATAAACGATAAACATTACAACTAAAATGGCACATAACAGTCCAACAACAGCTCCTCCGATCACAGCTATTTTTTGTTTTGTTCAATTTTCCGATTGATTGGTTGGTTGGTTGGTATATGTTGTGAAGGTTCAGTGGTGGTATGTTGTGAGAATGTGAAGACGATCAGAAAAGAAAATATAACCACATATGCATATGAAATGGAGAAAGAAAAAAAAACAATAAATGGAACTGTAAAATAAAATGGAGAAGGTCTAAAACGGGAAAAATGCAGCAAAATCAGTCAAGTGTTAAAATTAAAATCGAATTGTGATGCTTTGTGAATGTTTTAGTGTGTTGCGTGGTTTTTTGTTGTTGTTGTTGTTGTTGTTAAAAAATCGTTAGGGACTATAAACAACAAAAAGAAGATATGGCGTTGGGAATTGTACTCTTTAAAAAAGACAAGTTTTTAATGAGAACATGGTTTCTTTGCATGCATTTCTTTTTCTCTCAAATATTGCAACACTAAGTGAAGACAATTCAATTTCAATTCTGAACATTGATCTGGCCTGTCTGCTCATATTCCGTCTAGTTAAGATAAGCTAAAGAAAAGACAAAAACTATCGTACCGGCTAGAATGCCTGGTTGCGCAAAGAAACTGGCTGTTCGATCCTCGCCTCGATTATCCATGATAAATACTTCGTTACCAGTTGGAGTGTCAATGCCTGGTATTGGCTTAGTGGTGGCAATATCACTTTTGCCTGTTTTACCCGGTTCGATTTCGCTGCCCTCAGTTAAATCACTGTCTATGTCTTCAATAGGTGGTTTTTCGTCTGTATTTTGCAGGTAAAATAGAAAAACAATTATTTATTAATCAATTCATCTGAATAGTCCTTTGTACGAAAAAAATGCACAAAGAAATTATTTCTTGCGACTTGAAATAAGAATTCAACTAATTTATCCAATAATCTAAATGTAAAATTTGTCCCTGTATCGTAACAACTAGATGTGTACTTTTTGAATTTAAGTCGATTGATTTATATTAAAAATGCACACATCTAACTGGGGCGAGATCCCTTTTTTGCGTTTTAATAACTTTAAAAGTGTGTATTTTGTGTATGCCATTTCACAGTGTGTGTATTTGTGTGAGTGCAGCCGTGTTATTGTGTAGAAAAACCACAAATTTTGAAACAATAAACTTGATCAAAGAGTAGGCGATTGAGTTTTCATAATGGCTCCCGAAACTACTGTGCGCATTGTTGCATTCAATCAAGTGTGTGTGTTTTTTTTTAATCTTTTATGTATAATTTTTCTCCGTTTCAATTTTTAAAATAATCACATTAACTTTGTTTATTTTAAACACTTGATTTGATTGGTAACTAGAAACCATATGATGATTGCACTTCATAACCGAAAAAAACGATGATTGAATCGGGCATACAGAGAAAGAAGAAGGTGATTTCTGGACATAGTTTTTCGGTTCGTCGAGTTTTTCCTTCGGTTTAGCGATACGTTGTAGTTTGTTGAGCTTGATGAGATGTTATGTTATTTCCTTTTTTGAGATTTAAATGCGTTCCACTATCCACTTGTTGTATTTTCCCCATTTTTTTTTGTCAATAGAATCGACGTCAGTTCTATCCATTACTTCACAATTTACAATCGAAGAAGATGTCTGATTGTCAGTTTCACACAAATTGTTAATCATGAATTGAAGCGTTTTAATCCGAATGAAAAATTAAATGGAAAAAACTATAGACAATCCATGGGTCAATTAACTCATTTTTTTTTTTCGTTTAAATATGAAATTCTTGCAGTAAACTTGGGAAAAATAATGGAAAGCAACAAAATGTACATGATATATGGATGTTGCATGCTTTTGATGATCGCTCAATATGATGATTGATGGAAATAATTCGTTTACTACATTTCACAAACATTGAATTTAATGAAAAAATCGCAAGGATAAATTGACTATAAACTCAAGTTCAATGGAAAACCGAAAAGAAATCAAAACTCAACAAAAAAAAACTTCATTGGGAGAGTGCGCTGTTGATTACGTAGACGCAAAGATAAATCCTGGTATTTTTAGCATTTTTCTAAGAGTGGTGACATTGATATTCGGGTTCTATAGCTTCTTAGTATAATCTTTTATTTACATGAATAGATATACTTGTGGTTTTTCGCAATTTCTTTTCACACAAAGAATATTTGTCAACAATTTATTTTAAGCGACAAGGAAATTTTTTTCAACTTTTACAGAATATAAAATTGAAGAAAATGCTTCATTCTTTATTTAATAAAGAATGTCAAAACTTTTAGTGCTTTAAACTTGAGTTAGTTTTATGAGATGATATGAGATGAATTAATTGAGCAAACACGACATGTTTTAAGGTAAAATTTTATGAACGATTTTCAGTTGTTGTGCGAAAGAAAGTTTGAAAAGAATTGGATAATCGGAAAAATTATAAACGTAAAATAATTTCAGCTGGAAATTAATGTGAAAATGAGCTATGTGTAATTGTGCGGAACATTAAGACAAACAACGGTCCAAAAAAAAATCTAATTGAATTGACGAAGTCATATGGACAGCTAGATAATTTGAAGAAAAATGAAATAAAATGATTTCTGCACACAAATCAGAGAAAATTTCAAAAGATACAGAAAAAAACTTTATTTTTTCTTCAAAAAATACTGAAACTTTCGTTAAGAATACGTACGCGCGTACCTCTAGTTACCTAGAATTTTGTGTACGATCGTTGTATTATTTCTATTTTTCATTGATCAAGGTTCATTATTACTCATCCATACGGTGTCAATTATGATGCAAAACATACGTTTCTGCACTGACAATCAACAAATAAATGAGAAATTGCAGGAAAAAAATATTAAATTTGAACGACATTTAATTTACAAGTTAGAACACACTTTAACCACATTTGAATGAGTAAATGCATGAAATAATAAATATGTGCATGTAAATTGTTTTTTTTTTCACGTAGTGAAGTAATTTTCTCATTGATTAGAATGTCAAAATGAAAGCAAAACATGGGAAAGAATCCAAAACATTATTGACGTTGATAATTTAATTTGAATTGAGTTTCTTGCGTATTTGTTTTGATTTCAATTGGAATTTAACATTTTTAGATGGCGTTGTGGTGCACCGATCAAGTTTTTTTCCTATCTTTGAATAACATGGGTGTTATCACTCGAATTTATAACTTAAAAGAATATGCAACAAAAAAGCGAACAATGGAATGTTTTGGATAAGTTTCCAAACATTTCATGTTAGACTTCCAATTCGGTCAATTCTAGCCATTTTCATTTATTCAACTTTGATTTATGTGCGAATTTTCAATATATGAAAAACTACCCTAGTTTTGATTTAATTGCTTTTCGTGCATACACAAGGTCTATTTATAAGACGTACTAGTTTAATAACTTTAAAATTTGCCGCATACAAACTCACACATTCAAATACGAATACACACCGAATAGTGAAAAAAAGAACTATTGAATTGGTTGCTGTTGTCGTTTGCAGACTAAGCGAATGAATTAAAAACTAAATGCAACGATTAAAAAGAAAATAATGGGAATTTGCGCTGTAAAAAAATGCCTTGTATTATGCGATTACAAAATATTGTATGCAGTTTCTATAGATGTTCGATTCAATATATATTCTAAGAACATCAAAAATAGTGGTTTTGCTCGTTTTTAACACAATTGCATTGTATGCATTTGCGTTGCATCATCTGTATTGCGGAGTAAAATTACAAATTGTATTTTGATAGTGAACTACTAGTTGCATAATAAGGAAGAGTATTGAAAGCATTTCTGAACAACGTTTTTTTCGCATTACTTTCGTTTCGATCCGAAAGATGACGTACAAAAAAATTAATTGCGGAAAAATAAATGAATGAGAGATCTGAGTAGATCAAAATAAAAAAAAAAATTGGTTTTGGAATAACGTTTTCGCATAATTTTTTTCTTGTCGGAGTGATATTAAATCGCCATTGACTTAAAGCCACAGTAAAAATGGTTCAGTTTACTTGATATATCGTCGTCGGTATTCTCGATATCTTTTGATTTGACTACTGTTGTTAGATCATCATCACGATCCTCATTGTCATCTTCGTCGATATTCGTATTGGTGTTACCGCTTGGTATAACACCACCGTATCCGGGCTTATTACCACCTTCTTCTTCCTCCGTCGGCACAATTGGTTCACGCACATCCTCCTCATCCGAATCATCACCATCGTCTTCGTCATCACCATCATCATTATCATTATCGATATGTTTATCACCCGACCCCGTGTCCAGGTGATCTTCATTCGTTTCAGTAGGGAAATGAAGGTGCTTTTCGGGCTGTTTGCTATTTCTATTATCCGGTATTGGTTCTTTATTCTTACTGTTTGTTGCTTTATATCCTCCGTTTCCTGCGTTTGTTGATTTGTATCCTCCGTTGACTATTGGATCGAATGATAAAAAAGGCGAATTAATCAAAATTATTCTATAGATTGGTGGTTTTCCTTGATTATTATTCAAAATAAGTATACAATCTCTAACGAGCTATACGTTATAAATTTGAAATTCTAAAAAATAAAATGATCTTCGCTCCGATAAACGCTTTTTTCTTATCACGAAAAAAAATCTCTTTTCAATAATCTAGTTACCTTTCTTGCGATGTGGTGTTGATGAAGACGAATCTTCATCGTCTGGTCCAAATCCAGAGCCAGAATATTCCGGTTCTTTCTCTAAATCGTCATGAATCTGTAAGAAAAAATGTTTCGTCATATTGATGAACAAGCAGGCGATATATTTTTTGCTTCAAAATTGAATTTCAATTCACGATCAAAAAATTATTAAACTTGTCAATTTCTTGTTGGTAGATACAGTAGTTTTTGTTTTTTCTTCAAAACTCTCTTCCATTCAACGTGCAAAATCTCGAAATTAATAAAATCAAAGTATATCGAAAATGTCATTCAACCAACGTGAAACACTCTCAATCCACATTGGACAAGCAGGCATTCAAATTGGTAGTGAACTGTGGAAATTATATAGCATCGAGCATGGTATTTCTGCCAGTGGAAAACTGGAAAATCATGGAGATGCTTGTACTGAAACCGGTCGAAATACATTTTTTGAAGAGACAAATCGCGAAAAATTTGTGCCAAGATCAATTTTCATCGATACTGAACCGTCCATAATTGATGAATTGCGCAGATGTGATTATCGAGAGCTCTATAATCCAAATTATTTATTCAGTGGCAAAGAAGATTCGGCAAATAATTTTGTTCGTGGATATCATACGCTTGGCCGTGTATTAATCGAATCAGTGAATGAAAAAATACGTCAAATTATTGAACATACAAATAACTTGCAAGGATTTTTCTTGTATCATTCATTTGGTGGTGGAACCGGCTCTGGATTTTCAGCAAAATTATTGGAAACACTGGTCGACGACTATCCTCGTCTAACTAAACTACAAGTGGCTATTCATCCAGCACCGAGCATATCGTCCACAATCGTTGAACCATATAACTCAGTGTTAACGACACATTCAACGCTAGATCAAGTAGACTGTGCATTTATGTTTGATAACCAGGCAATGTATGATATAATGCGTGATAAAGTGTGTATTGAACAGCCGACATATGCACATTTAAATCGTTTGATGAGTCAAGTTCTGTCCGGAATTACGGCATCGTTGCGTTTTAATGGATCACTAAATGTGGATTTAGATGATTTTCAAACGAATTTGGTGCCATTTCCACGCATTCATTTTCCAATCGCATCGTATGCACCCGTAATGAATGCAACAAAGGAAACGTACGAACCAGCAACCGTGTCTGATATCACACAGCAAGTGTTTGATTCAAGCAACTTAATGATGAAATGCGATCTAACGGTAGGCAAATTTATGGCCTGTTGCTTACTTTATCGTGGAGATGTTGTTGCAAAAGACATCAATAGTGCCATTCAATCGATTAAAAATCAACGTATGATTCAATTTGTTGATTGGTGTCCAACGGGATTTAAAATCGGCAACAATAACAAACCACCCGTATCAGTGCCGCACAGTGAGCTATCATCATGTGTACGTGGTGTGTCAATGCTTGCCGCAACAACAGCCATCCAAGGTGTGTTCGGTGCGCTCAATCGGAAATTCGATATGATGTATCATAAACGAGCATTCTTGCATTGGTATCTCGACGAAGGTATGGAACTGTATGAGTTTGACGAAGCACGCACCAACTTGGCAGTTTTAGAAAAAGACTACGAAGAAGTTAATATCGATTTATAACTTATCTGCGTGAAAATTTTCAACACACTTTTCTTTATTGCCGTTCAATAAAAAACCGTTTCAACTTTAAAACCTTCAAACTGTATTCATTTTGTTACTGTTTGAGCTAAAATTTATGTATGAGCTCTGATTTTTTACTGATTCTTTTTTATGAACAAAAAAAACACACACACTTCAGCCATGGATTTATTGACAAAACATACAACACTGAACGAAATGAAATTTTCGTAATTTTTTATTGTAAAATTTTTACCGCGGACCTTGGATATTTAATTTTTTTTTCAATGCGAACTCGCCAAATGGAACATTCAAATTAAGTTTCATAAAAAATTTCAAATTCTTTGTTTTTTTAAATTCGAAATTAAATTATATTTTATAAAAATGAACTGAAGAATATTCTTACTTCACCACGGCCACCAGATCCTTCAAGTCCTTCGTCGTCAATATAAATTTCATCTCTTGCTGTATTGTGCGGTTGACTAACTGAAGTTGATGACACTGATGAGGATGGAGTTTGTATTCCTTGCGATGTAGGGGTTGGTCCAAGTAATGTAGATGTTTCAATCGATGAAGATGTTGGAACCACTGGTGTTTGTGTTGAGCTTATTTGCCACAATGGCGTTTCAGGTTTCTAAAAGTGATTTTGAAGAATGTTTTGTTCTTGGATTATCACTTCAATTTTTAAATACTCTCAACAAAACCATTTATATTTCTATCTATAATATTTGAGTTGTTTTTTTTCATTTTTTCATTACTTTTATCAACATTTTAATGAATATTCACATTTTAATCATAAAATTACCACGAATAACTTTCGTCTTAATGACTGCAGAAAAGCAATTAACAAGAAAAAGAAAACGTTTTAAAAAGTCAGAAGATTTGCTAACATCGATGAAAATGAAAATGTTCTACACAAAATATCAGCATATACGAAGTGTTATTTTTTTTAAATATATTTTGGTCCGCGTTCGTAATAATGTTAGGATAGTCTCTACAAATACTTAAACCACCACCACTTTGCACACCGATTTTGCAAAATTGTTACTCAACAGTTACATGTACCACTATGCTTTCGGTAACGTTCATTGTATGAGTCTTCACTAAGCGTGTAATTGCGTAGGCCCTCATATATCTTTATTATTTTTTTTAACAGTCCACACTTTGCATTGTCTTGAGATAATGTATGCGAGCTCTATAAGCCCCCTTCTTGTTACTGCAAGAAAACGCATTCTTCGGAGTATATAAAATAAATCAAAATTCTCCTTGTGGAACTAATCATTATCGCTTTACCTTTTTAGGATTTTTTTTTAAATAAATATTTCGAAGAAGATATTGTTGACACAGATGTCAATTGAATGAAAACAATTGCTTTGTTGTAAAAGGTAGTTTGGATAGAACTAGAAGTTATCACGAGTAGGTATTATCAATAACTGATGTATGCGATGACTGTTCCATCAGGACCAGTCCATGACAATACTTGATTCAGCGAAAATTTTTGCTAGTGGTTCAATGTATTGGTACGTATACAATGACTTGCGGATTTTGCGCACTCACCACTTCCCTTTAAATTCATGCTACCGAGAATAGCACACGAAAAGCTTTTGTAGAAAAAAACCAACATCAATATTAAGCCAAAAATCATTATGCTGGTTATGTTGATACAATTTTTTGTTCAAACTTTTTGCCAAAACATAATATGCCTGGATTTGTGGATAATAAAAAAAACTCTCATTTGCAATTTCATTATTGAAAGAAAAATCGATAAATCTGCGCGTTAATTTAATTCGGTATTCATAGATGCGGCTTTCATTAAACTATTCAGGATGAAACTACGACCAATATCTACGAGCTTTTTTCATCTGATAGACGAAAGTTCATTAAATTGAAAGCTAAAGATACGTGATATATGGCCCAGATAAAATTAAAGAATTTAGAATCGGTGTTTTGGACATATAATTATTTGATATTTCGAAAGTACAATTTCATTGTCACGGCGTATCGATCAAGTAGTTGCCAAACGCAAACGCGACCACCATCAAGATCTTTTCTCATATACATTAGGTTTGCATGCAAGATTCACTTAGATTTACGCCTAGGATTGCTTGGCATATAGTGCTCCTTTGTATTACTTACCACATCAGTTGAATTTTTCTGCAAACAAAGTGAAAGTACAAAAAATTCCAAAATTAGCGACATATTTTTTCATAAAAGTAAAATTAGTTGTTAGCATACAAAATAATGTGGATAAATGAAATGTTCCGTTTGGTAATGAATGATTTAGGAATTCTATAATGATGGCGCTGATGCTCAATATGATAATAGCAAATTGATATGCACGCATCTCACGTATTTGTGCGGATGCACCCGTGTCGAAAATCGCCGAAATGGGCTATTTTATGTGGTTTAAGTATTTCGCAATTACTGTTTTTATACTCTAAGTTCATGTCGATATTTCAATCAAATTAAATGACAAAAACTTTTAGTAGCTTTATCCAAAAAAAAAATGGATCTAAATCAGTGAAAAACTATGAAGGCCACATTAATCAGCAAAAAATGCTTGTAATGAAAATTATTGAATTGCCTGATTGAAACTCAACTTATCCGATGGATATTTTACGGAGTTTATCTGTGTTCATCCAAAGTTATTGAATTAATCATTACCGTAATAAGAAATGCGAGCGATCAAAAAACGTCTTAGCAATAGACAACCGCCAAACTATATATACGGAGGCACCAGGATAGTCCAAATGAGTATACGTCCAGCCAATAGTGCCACACATTTTGACGGCAAAGTTTGACAATGTTTTGAACGAGTTTCATTTTACGAATGATGTTGTTGTTAGTGTTGGACTATCCCAGTGTGAGTGGTGGTGACGGCAGACACTTTAGTAAACCATGTCTTTGAAAAGATTAGATCACCATAATATTTTCATATCAAACAATTGATGACGATATAAAGACCGGAAACAGATAAACGAATTTCAATCGAATTTACTTGATATGCAAAGTGTGTTAACAAATAAAACGTACGTGTTGTTCATAAGATGCAACAGTAAGGAGAACCAAATCTTTTTAAATCATCTCTCTACAAATATCAGAATACTAATGTGTACATGTTGGATATTTCAAAAATTGGTATTCGATTCCATAGTTGAAACGCAAAGTGTTTTTTTGCCTGGGATACATGATTTCTTCTTTCAAATGTATCAATGAAATTTGGGGAAAAATGGATACATTCAGATTTTAGAATGATCTGTAAGGCGATCGAAACAGATCTACACAAATCAGGTTTTTTAGGTTTAACCATAGTTTAATTTTTAAGATTGTGATTGTCATATATACTAAGAGGATATTATTCAAAAAAATGTCTATTGTGATAAAATAAATAATGGCGAAATTTGTTTTCATTGTGAATAAATCTTTTCAGCGGAATTTCTTTTTATTGTGAGTGTCCTATACGAATGTCATTTATTGTTTGTTGCATTAACAAATACTAAATGAATCGTTCTCTATATAAATCAAACATATGTTTATATACTCAAATGTTTCATATGCAAATACTACGAAGATGTTCTTATTCTGTATGCATGCGATCAACAAGAAGATCAGAAACTTGATAATCAAATACGTCTTGATATGACATGACATGATGTCATTGTCATCATTTCACCTCAATTGATGAAATTTGGGTGGATCTTTTTTCATACTTGCTTGTCATGGAATAATTGACAAAAAGTCGAGCACAATAAAAATCAAATATAGCATATTTATATAGAATGGACTGTTGATCAACACATGTATACGGTTTTAGATTTTATGCAAATGTGACATGCCAAACTAGCATATTATAAGCATATCTATGATTTGTTTACGAGGCAAACTATTGATTATGCAGATATGTGGTGCCAAATTCGTTCACCGAGTACCATCAATATTCAAGCCACATTGTTCTATGAAATCAATCATAACACTTATATCACTTCGCAAAGTTGCGGATCGATTAGTTCTCCGGAAAATCGGGTACAATATAAATCGTATTCATAAAACGGAATAAAAATCAACATCAACCGAAGCATCCAAACAATGTGAGTAATCATTATTGATGGGTCTATCATTTTCGGCTTCTATCAAAATAATCAACAAGATGAAATATTCGAATGAGGTTGATCTTTTTGGTTAACAATTATTGAATTTACAAATCTTCGATAGGGGAAGTTCTTTCATCCTATGTCCAATTGAAAATCAAAGTACATTAAATGATGAATATATTATTTACATATCAAATAACAGCGTCAGAAACCGCCAGAAGCCGTCAAAGTGATCATTTGCGGCCCTTTTCGTTTCAAGCCATTTTTAAGCACAATTTTGATTATATTCTTGACTCCTATATATTTGATTGAATAGAAGGAACATTAATTCCCATATATCAAAGCAAAAACATGCAATGATTTCCCTTTTATGGCTCCAAAGAGGGCCGCGAATCTGAACAAAGTTGGGATTTTTGCTCAATTATCGAAAATGCGGTACGATTTTTTCGATTGAATTTTTCATACAAGAATTTCTGTGCAAACTGGAATCTATGGCCTAAGATAGTAGGCCCATGGTATTGGAAGTTTAATACAATAAAAGTTTTGGGTCGTCCGATATCATATCGTGGATAATTTTGTTGATATCTCTTAAAACCACCAATTTTGAGCATTTTTGAGGTTTGTCAACAAAATGGCTCGTAAAACGACGTCTGAATTAAATATCTTTATACATTCAGGTTATTTTCAATGCTTAAGGGATACCGTAAAGTAACTCCAATATGGATTTGATTTTTCTAATAATTATGTCTTTGAAATGTAAGCGCGAAACCGTCACAAAAAAATTATTTTTCTTCTGATTTTGAAAAAATCAAAAGTAGATTGGTTCAAGACGCTGTAACTCGCAAACTGATCATCCGATTTGGCTCAAATTTTGACTGAGTTCTAGTTAAGCATGGTTTTATCTAAAACTAATGTGGATTTGGCAGTATTTTCGTTATTTCTATATCAGACCAAAGACTTTTCAGCCCATGTAGTATTCGATTTTATCCGACTTTGAAATGTATGAAGCCATACACAAATCTGATGAACGCTCTCCGCTTAGAAAATTATTCATATACACAATGGCAAAGTTTTCGAGATAAAAACCACACTTTTCGTTTTCATATGTCAATGATGTTGGTTTAGAATTATATACATAGATAGGGTCGGATTTAAAATTTTGAATGAATAGTGGTGATGAATTACTATTTCAAACAGCATTTATACAAATTCATGGTATTTGTTGTGCAAAATAATTAAATCATCCACAAGGGGTATCGCTTATAAACACTTTAAACATGGATTGAATTCATTTATCCATTTATTAGAATAAAAATAGTTTAAAATATGATAAAAGAAATAATTTACCTGTTCTGTAGCAAGTACTCCATTTTGCGAATGCAACGTGAAGATCAGTGCAACTAATATGATAAATGGCGTTGATAGGTTAATCCAAATTGAGCTCATTTTGTTTAAAATAATGATGTGTCGATTTTCCACTTTGAAAATATAGTAAACTTTGTCGCTTTCAAAAAATATCAAATGTTGCACTATTTCAATTTAGTCACTTCTTATCATTTAGTGTTTCATTCAAAACTGCACTTCACAACTCAAACTGACTGTCAATATATTTGATGTTTGCATTTGATTTAATGACTTCTTTTTTCAGTTAACTCCAAATATTATAACTGCATAGTCAATAGTTGATGCACCTGCAAGTAGCTTGTTGTAACAACTATGTTAGAACCGCTCTTGAAAATATCCGTACGATTATTATAACGACCGGTTAACTTGAAAAGGTCCACAATACATGTTTCTTCTTGATCAATCCGACATATGGATGCTGTTGATACAAATAAATGAAAAAAATATGTATATTTGTGAGTTCGCCAAATAGAAAATTTGTTTTATATTGTTCCTCATTTTAATGTTACGATCACAATTATTATTATCGCGCAGCGCATGATATGTAGTGACATAAATTTGATAGCTATTCTAAGGGTAATTACAGAGAGCTGACAGATAATGCTTTGTACTTATGTGACAAAATAATCTAAATAGCAATTTAAAATGCTGGAAATTTTTCCGAATTTCTTGTTGTATTCTGTAACAATCCTATTGATGGGTGAGAATTATGCTAATCATTCAAAAGATCACTTTCCAGTAGGATGATCCAAATGTATGAACACAGAGCATTGTCTACAGACAAGACACGGACACGATCCTTTGAGAAAAGGATATTTTGGGGATACATTTTTGAAAGGATATTTGGGGGAATTCATGAACCAACAATGTTTTGAGAGATTTTATCCTGACATATGCATGGTTTCGAAATACCAACGTAAGAAACGAGATGCTCGTGAGTGTACTTTTACGTAAAACCGTACCAAACATGCCGGTCTCCATATTTTGTTTGGTTTTGTTTCGATTCACTACAAATTTGCACTCATTGCTTTCTGTTTGTTGCAAGGAAACAGGGTGACGTGCAGTAATGGGCGAGTCATTAATTGAATGCATAATTTCAGTGAGTCGAGGAGAGGAAACATCAACCAAGTTATTTTTAGTTTTGCCATTTGTGAATTTTGCAACTTTGTTAAACAGAGATTAGCGAAATGTTGAAAATTGACATCATTTCCAGAATAAAATCAACACAATGGTATCCCCTTGGATTTAACACTGGCTCATCGTGATATGATGGCATTGATATCATTATCAGTCTTGGTCACAAAGTATATATACTAATATTTTTTGCAATATGTGTTTTTCAGTATTTAGTAAATTCACTCCCAACTTTGTGCCCTTCGAATGTTTTCACTTGTTTGTTCTACAGACAAAGCCCAAGACATTGTTTGCCTTCCTATCCGTTATTATTGAATTATAATAACGTTATTTTTCCACACTTTTCTCTCATTTATAACACTCATCGGAACAAAAATGTTCGCATCATTGAAACAAGTAAGAAAACCACTCATTTATCCTTATTATTCCCGTATATTGCATATATTTCAAAGAATATTCTCATGAATTGATAGCACGACTGATCTGTGGATTTGGATCGCGGCAGGTTGGGTTGGATTTGTCTTTTGTGCACTTTTTGGAATGAATCAATTACAAAACCTTTTCTCTAGTTCACTTGGCAATTTATATATATGTAAGTGAATGAGTTTCATTCCGGAAAAAGACTGAAAAGCAAGATATAAAAAAATAAATCATAGCATTTATTCGCAATCGCAAACAAAATAATATAGGTTTCAATATAAATATGAATTTCTCGACGTAGTATCGTTTTTCTTTCGCTTCTTTCAACGAAAATGTTGAAAAGTAGCTCTGTGATTCATTTATTTGTTTGCAAAAGAAAATAAAGGAAGATTTTTAAAATAAGAATTTGCGCTTATTGGCTAAATTCGAATGTGTTTTTTTGTCTATCTTTATGTACACACAAACATACATATACATATATATATAGAGAGAGAAAGATATATAGATGTAAATAAGCTTCAGTTGGAGCTCGAAATGAATTCACACAATTTTACTCAATAATATAACCTCATTAAATGTCATTCATTTTCACTTTAACATTGTTTTATCTATTCCGGGTTTTTGGAAACATTTTTATTTATTTATCAAATTCATTGAGTCAGCTAAAGTAATGTATGTATAAATTATGTATTATGTTCCTGTAAATGGCAAATGGTTGAGACTGCTATCATTCGGTATCGAAGCAAATATACAAATATTATAAGCTAATAGAGTACGAAGAAGAATACAAAGAAGAAGAAGAAGAAAAAAAAAGTTTTATTGTGCGTGACCAAATAACTCTAACAACAGCAATACGTACAACATATTTGTATAATTTTAATTTTTCTCTACGTTTCACCGAATGTAACAATTGATTAACTATGGAAAGAAAATCATTCTATTCCATATTACATCGAAATCTCACTTCGGAAAAATGGTTGACTTTATGATTTGTTGTCACTTGCTTTTTTAATGGCTTACACGTTCTATGTGCTTTTACACCGTTCAAAACCTCACACGTAAAATTCACATTTTGAACATAAAATACGCTTACAGTGTCACTATGCAATGAGCATTATATTATGGTTGAATATTCTAGCCTGAACAGTCACTGAATTTTTAGTTCCGAATTGAAAAAAAAACTACACACATCCCAGTCGAAAAGAATATCCAACGTAAAATTGTATGAGTGTGATTTGTTTTTCTACACCCGCTTGTATATTAACATTACCATGATGGTTTTGTAGTTTTTCTTTTCACATTTTACTTCACAGATAAAATAGAAAATCAAAAATCACAAATAAAACAATTTTTTTTTTGTTATTATTTATGCACACTAGGAGAGATTCTATTTTTTTTTATAACAAATGAAACTATGCAGTGAATAAAACACACGCTATACAGACAAGACACCAACTTGATCAATGAATGAACGACGATAAATGGATATTATATTCTGATTGATGCAATAGGCAATGAGCAACATACACACCATCAACATACCAAATGACAATAGACGCAGCCTGTTGTGGAAACACTATATACACACATATACATACACACACACTCTTGAAAGAAAAAAACTTCACACTTAAGCACACGCATCATACCAGATCGAGCTCAGCGTATACACACATACACATATCAGAGATGCGAATGAAGCCAGTGCGCATACAGTCGTAGCAATAACAACTAGTTTCCCGTGAATTTGAAGCAGCTACACACGATTCATTCGGGCCTCCATTCTTCCTTTATAATTCCAATTTCACATTTGGTACGACCATATTGCCGTATACATTACGATGGCTCTTCATATGTCGTCGACTATAGCTCTCAGTGCACGAATGTGTGTTGGTAACCGCGAATGTATGTATTTAGGTTTTTTTTTATTTATGCGTATTTTTTCACCAACAATGTGTAGACATTTTGTTTAGTTGACATGAGCATGCACAACACACTCGAGTGTGTGGGTGAAATCGATTGTGGCAACACTAACGCATGGAATATTATCTGTTTCTCACTCGAACGGTTGAAAATATATAAAAAGTCGATATTTATTTGTGGGAAAAAATAACAAAGAGTGGACAGTAGTATCAGCACCTGAAACACAAAGCCTTGTATGTAATCTGCTTTTGGGTTGGTTTTGAAATAAACTAGCTTTAAGTATGGTTGGCTCATCTGGTAAGACGCTTATTTTTACGATGAAATTATTTCATAAAATCCGTATACAAAGTAATTATGACCCGATCGTGTAAACTGAAACGAAAATGATGTTTCAAATCTCCGAGGGCTACAGTTACGAAAAAAAAGTTGAAAGCAATCCAATTTGAAATGCTTTTGATGAAACATTCAGGTTTACTGCAAGGAAATAACACTATTTCGTCCATATGCGATGATTCTAAATTCAAAAATAGGAAATTTTTGAAAATTGGCGCAGAAAACTTCTTTTACAATTTGACTACAGCTATCATAACTGCTACCAACTTCACATTATAAACTTTGTGCGACCAATTTCATTAAGAAATCTATCAATTTCGACTTCAATGAGAGTTGAAGTTGTGAGATATGAATCCGACGCCTCCAAATCCATTTCAATCCGCTTCTACAAAATATCTGTTCATGTCTGTAACATCGTCTAATTTTAATGAATGAATTTTTTGTTCATAATTTATAAAAATCTCTATTCGGCTTAAAATATATTGTCTATTTTCTTCTTAATGTTAAGTGTTTTTTTAACCATTTTATTTGTATTTCTCATTAAATCATTTTACAACATCGAGTATTACATCTATATACAAACAAATTATGAAATCGTTTGAGGATGAGCACAAATAAACTTATCGCTTTCTCTTAGGAAGAGAAAAGAGAAGAAACTCTGGAGCTTACGAATGAAACGAGATTAAAATCCTTCTCCACTTAGCGTTGCTGCCTGTGAAGCAGTAGCAACCTAATGAAAAAAAAAATCGAAAAATGAAGCAAATGAAATGTGAATCAAGATTATAAATTTTATTTTTGCATACCTTTCGTCCACCCCGAAAGTTATTATATTCAAAGCTTCCCCCTTGACTTTGACTTCCTGCCGAGCTAGCTCCGAAATTAGTACTGCTGTAGCTTGTGCTACTAGCAAAGCCGCTGCTGCCAAAACCGTTATTGCCACCCCCAAAACCATTGCTGCTGAATCCATTTCCGCCGAATCCGCTGTTTCCGCTGTTTCCGCCAAAATTGTTTCCATTGCCAAAACGTGTACTTCCAAAACCTCCTTCAGTACTCTCTGATAGCCATTTAGTTCCTTTAACTACTTTTGTGACTTCCTCGGGATGTGCTGAAAAGATTAGATGGTGTGAAATATGGCGCAGAAAACTTCTCCTACAATTTGACTACAGCTATCATAACTGCTATCAACAAAAAATACCAACTGTGCTTGTAGTGATGATGGAAATGGTCATGTGAAATTTCCTCTTTAACTTTAATCGGTACCGGTTGTTTCTTGACAATTTCCTTGATCACTTTTTCTTCTAAAAAAAATGAATAAATATGTACGTTAAATAAAAAAAATATCATAACGTTTTGATAAATAGGTTTTAAATATGAAGATGAAATGACCTTTTATAACAATGGGCTTGTGATGATGATGAATATTTTTTACTTGCGTGTGCGTATGTTTATGATGCGACTTTTTTACTGGAACATGAATGATAATTTTCTTTTTGTGGTAGCTTAAATGGGAAAAAAATTATATTTAAAAAAATATATATATTAGAAATTGACACTTTTGACACATGAATTTAAAAAAAAGTGAAAAAAACAATGGCATGCAATAGGGAGTCGAAAGCGTTTTTTTAATTGGTAAATTAATATGAATGAATTTCCTGAAACAAATGCGTGATTAGGAATATTGAATGAAAATTTTGCGATTGTATTTATGTGCAGTGCATTTACCCAGCTTCTGATGTACTAATTGCTATGATAAGTATAAATAAAGCCACCAGCAGCTAAAAATAAATAAAACAAACAAAAACAATCAACATTGCGTAAAGCATTGAGAGCAACATAAAAAAAGGAAAACTAATGCATGTTCAATGCACGATAAGTTGGAATGAGTAGCTTTCGTGCGTTCCGCATGGGTTCATTATAAACAATCTTCAAAATGAAAATGAAAATGATAATGTTTGTATTATATTTACACGTTCAGAGTCAAAACAGTTTGCTGACACCGCAATACGGAAGAACAAGTTTTTACTTTGGTGTTAAAAAAAAAACTTGAATCAATGTCAAGCCTTAATTAACTTCTGTAGCAATATTTGTTTTGGTTGTAATTATTGCTATCAATTCGGATTTCGTTTTGAGTGAGCTCATTTTTAGTTTTATTTTTTCTTGATTTAATTTTTTGAACTAACTGAACATGATTGCAAATGTTTTTTCAAGTTGAATTCGAAAGAAAGTATTTTCATTTTTCATGATTACAAGAGATTGGATTATGATGAACTTAACGAAAACTGTGTTTGTCGTCTTTATATTTTTATTTTTTCCATTTTTCTTCTGAATAAACAAAGATTCACGTGCTATCATCGAGCTCGATATATCACAGTCAAATTTCAAAATGGTCCGATAAATATTCGACACGTTGATTATTCACTAAGATTTTTATTCGATTTCAATACAATACAACAAACAGCACCTGATTTTGTTTTCCTTCATCAAATAAATAATCGATAGATGATTTTATTTACACTCACCACAACTCGTAGTTCCATATTTGACGATTCAATTTCAGTATATGGGAGTTCTAACACTGTTTACTGTTCTTAAATTTATCTTGATTTTTCGTTTGTTTTAAATACACAACACAATATCGATAATTCAACTGGTGTTCGGCGTAGGGACAAATAATCCGTAATCCCAAATTCGTCTTGGACTTGAACGTTCGCGTGCTTTTGAATCAATGTACTCGGTGGATCTGAAAATTTTCTGCACCTACCGTCAATATTTATATCGAAAATACAGCGAAGAGCTGAAAACCAACCAACACACCATCGTTACCAATACAAGCACCATTGAATATATGAACAAGCATTCACACGATACGAGATCAGCTAAAACATTTGAAGATGAAAGAAAAAAAACTAACAAAAAAACCACCCGAAAGCAACAGTTGAAAAACCGCATGTATTTTTCAATTATATATCACGTAATCAATCGCACACGATAGTTTCAACAACTAAAATCAAATCGTGAAAGTAGAAGTTAATCGTTGATGAGTTTCCAACTTATAGCATACAATATCAATTAATGCAGACAAAATGAAAATGGTATATGGGAAAAACAAAACAAAAATAAAAATGTGTGGAGGACAAGCGGGCGTGAAACAAATTAAATGCATGGAAAACTAAGTGAAACATTGGTTTAGCGACTGGCAATTTGCGCGCAAACACAAACACACTCAATACGCTCAAGTGCAATTTTATTCATTTCGCATTGGGTGAAAAACAACAATCACGTACCAGAAAGAAATTATTGGAGAAAAAACAAACACAGAAGAAGCACCAACTACACGGGGAATACAAATGGCAAAGAAACAGTTTGAATGCATAACTTTTATTAAAATAATACAAAGTCATGCATCCATTTAGGCTAATAATAATTCAAGTGCGCACAGCTCAGTTCACGTACCCATGTGCGTTTCTTTTCTCCCTCTCTTCTTCTTCTTCTTCTTCTTCTTCAATGAAAGGCAATGCAAGTCACAACCAACATCATCTATTCATTACACTCAATTTTATTCATAAGCGAAATTAAAATGTTTTATATTAAATTAGTGTCAGATGTTCCATCATTTCTATACAATTAATCTTGTGAATAAATTTCATCAGTAATTATGAAGTTGAAGTCAACAACTTCATTCACCTATTATCGAGTCGATCATACGAATATACGAATTTTGGTAGGAAAACGAAGCATATTTTGAGATATTGGTTTTTTCCGCTAAATTCTACAAGAGAAGATTTTTTGAGGAGGTTATCAATCAAATTATTTCTTCAAAATATTTGCACCTTAAGAACCCTTCTATTGAATGTTCCACTCTTTTAGATCAAAGTTTAGCGATATTTCGATTTGTTATTTCATTTTGGATAATTTTATCCAAGTTTTCTTTTTTCACAACTAGTGATCTACATTCTACATCAGGATCTTATCTAGAAAAATAAATTAATTCCATTTCTATTATTGAAATGTAAAGGGTTACAATGTAGGTTTTTTCAGCCTTCTTCCAGACATGGATAGTAACTGAGATTAGATAGCAGAAAAATGTCTTCGGCAGTGTTGTAGAATACTACTAATGCTTCAACTTACGTCTCACTCATAGATTTGTTCTGAAGAAAACCTCTTTCAACAAACAAGTGGGACATCCTGCGATAGTTTCATAATTATGCATGAGCAAAAATGAAATATTTCATTTTTTTCAGGAAATGTAAGGCGACCACAAGATCATTTTTACCCCGATTATTTCAAATCGAAAATTATTGGATTGGATAATTTGAATAAATTATTATGTCTATTCTGATTAAATAACCCGTGCGCCAGTTTGTTTGGAAGTATTGTTATTAATATTGAATTGGCTTTATTATTGCTTAGCATATCCGCCATATTATGACTTCTATTCCAAACGAACAAACGAATGAGGAATCTAACCGTTTCAGTAATACAATTTCGTTCGACATGTGTGAAATTTCTTCGTTTTTATGTCGAATTTCGTAGAAATTGGTATGTCGAAGCGCCACAGAGGGTATCTGGTGCGCACAAGTGTACAATTATTGACGGCAAAAATCCAAGTCAATACCGATTTTAATTGCAATTCGTAATCAATTCGTCGGTAGCAATAACCGCGATTGTTATTGTTATTATGATTGTTGTTGTTTTCGTGCACGATGCTCGTGCAGAGTTGGATTACATTTCCTGAATGATATCTTCGTGGTTAGATTGTGTTGCATTACAATGCACTGTACAATTGATTATTCGCCTAATTCAAACGTAATACAAACTATTATCGCATGATAAACTCAATTTTTTCGGAAGAATTTATTACCTTGTATGGTTTTTGTATTATTACTCTTTTGATTCGTATTTTTTCTGCGCTTCGTTGCCACAGCAAATGAAATTCAAACTGGTAGAGAATGTACTCTACACACTGTTCGTGTTTTTTTTTTCCTTTCGTTATTTTCTCCACATCTAACCACTTGGTTCGATTTGCTACAGGTGTAAAAAAATAGTGAAGCATTTACATTTCCTTCACCATATTTAGTGTATGCTTTTTTGTTTATATTTGTAACGGTCCGTATCGAATTTATTGCTGCTTAACCAATTGGAAATTTAATATTTGCGCATCAAACACAGACATTCATTCCAATTCGATTAATTTATTTTTACCTTTCATTTGCTGTTTATTTCTTTTCAGTTCATTCGGTGACCGACTTTAGAAATTCATCTCAATAGCGTAGTAAGCATTAAAATATTTTTCGTCCTTTTTCATTCTTCTTGAATTGTTGAGGTCCAAAATGATGATGGAGGTAGCGTCTCAAGGTGCAAAAAATTACCAGCAATTTTGATTTGGTTTGTTATCTTTGTCAGCAGGCCTCACATTTATCAAATGGAAATTGACACAAAATTCACAGTACGTTTCATCGTTTGGCTGCAGACCAGCCATACTTTATTTCATCTGTGTGTTTTGTACTTCAAGAAGTTTACTGTTTTTTGCCATTTAAATGTGATGATGGAAATATTTTTAAAAACGGCGGCGTGTAAAGCTTATATGCCGCCCAAAATCAAAATTTGATGAGCAAAAAAAGGTGTTCAGTTTTGTAAAATCAATTGTACACTTGCTCTTGAAATTTATTGACAATTTTCACTCCGCTAGCAATTTTGCCGCATTCAACAAAATGCCACCCGAAGCAATTGCTTCGCCAGCGTCATACTTTGTACGCTACCGTAAAAATAATACTAAAAACGGATTTTTACATTTCTAATGACTAGATCGAGAGGAGAGTATGTGAAAAAATTCTAATATATTTTGATAGAGGATAGTATGTTTTCTGATGATTCTGTTGGCGTTAAAGTAGAGTATGTTGTAGTACCGTCTAGCCTCTGCGGTCTTCACGGTTTTCGCGCAACTGATAGGAGATAACAACATGGTGTCTTCTGCAAAGTTGTAGTACTCGAGGTCTTCTATAACATTACTGAAGACATCTATCTCTTATCTCTTATCAGTTGCGCGCAAATCGCGCACATAAAAAAGCAAATTTTATATAGAACTTTTTTTTTCTTATCATTTTTCGCGCTTTCCGCGGAACTGTTAAGAGATAAGAGATAACTGACTTCAGCAATGTTATAGAAGACTTCCAGTGCTACAACTTTGCCGAAGACACCAAGTTGTTATCTCTTATCAGTTCCGCGGAAACTGTGGAAAACCGCGAGGACCCGCCAAATATGAACATACTCGCCTTTAACCATTTTTGAGTCGAAAGAAACTTACTCTTCTCTTTCATAACAAAGTCAGATGAACTTACTCTCCTCTCGATTTAGTCAATAGATTTCTTAAACAAAGAATACTGTTTTTTTAAAGAAATGCATCACAATAGTGATATTTTAGGTCGTTATGAGCGTCTATGGAGCATGAAGGCTCTAAGCTTTCAAGAATAATAATAATACTATAATATAATTTATATTTTTAAGACGGTTGAACCATCAAGAGACAAAATATAGATCTTATCGAAGGGTTTTGTCCAAGAGGAATGAAAATTCAACAGAACTGAAATTGAAATTTTAGTTTTTTTCGTACTTAGCTTTTCTTTAGCCATGATTACATGTCTCGAGAAGGAGATTATGAGCTAGGTTTTCGTTTGTTATGTCATCAAATGGTCATTTAATTGACAAACTCGTCAGGTGTTTCGAATTAAAAAAAAAGGATTTTATTTTCCAAATAAATAATTTTATTCAACAATTGGCAAATAATTTGTTGCCAAAGACAAGATAACAGATCAAGGTTTTATGGCAGTAATGATGTGGTTTCTTGCTGAGATGTTAGGGTCGAATATGGCATCAATTTTTGTAGAACAGCCTAGAAAAATATCAACGTTATCTTCAATTAATATCTTTAGTGTGAATTGTTGATATGTCAAAGTATTACCATTTTCTATGCAGTACAAGATACGATCATAAAGTATGACGCTTTCAACGATTGGTGCAAGCATCAAGCGGAGCGTATAAAAAATCACGACTGACTTCCAGCGCTCCAAATTCATCTGTGTATCTGGAGACTCAACATCATGATCTGGTATAATTATGCCTTCGAGATGACTGACTGCTTGTTGGCAATATTCACGAAATGTAGTCAGCCTTTTAATGCTACGAAGCCCCGAACGTTTACGTTCTGGCGAATATTTACAAATTATCTTTTCAGCGGCTGCGCGGTATGAATGAATCCGGAGGTATTCATAGTTTTTCTCCGATAAACGATCCGCATAAACTTCAATTGCATGACAAGCTACTTCACGTGCCTCAAAACTCAAATGATGCCATTTAGGTTCAACTAAATTCGTTAAATATTCACTAAGTGGATAGCCTTTGTTGTTATTGTTTTGGTCGATGGAAGTTGTGATTTTAAAATAACAACAGCCAACTAAATTCAGGAATTTTGCTTCACTGCTTTGCAGAAAAAAACGAATCAATAGGCTGGCCAAATTTCCACAGGGATGCAGACCGATTATACCAAATCTAAAGGTATCATCGTTCAAATCCACTCTGAAGCAATTTTTTATGTTCTAAAATTTATAAGACAAATAAATTGCATCTATATTTATTCGGAGTTTACAAAATTAGAAAATAGTTGTTTGAATTTTCTTCTTATTACCTTTACTAGTTCAGAAAATGATGTATCTTCACTCAAACAGATATTTAAGTGTACTGGCTTTCGGAAAGTAGTTCCGTCCTTGCAAAATTTCATTATTAAATCGATGGCTTTATTATCTAAATCACTGAAAATGTTAAAAGAAACTTGAAAATGTTAAAGGAACTTGAAACTACCATTGTTATTTTATGTGCTCACTTGGCTTGTTCTGTGAGAGCAACTTGTTTTTCGATGCAGCATACATTCAATCCATGACCGTAGCTAATCAATCGTGCCAAATGCCCCAACCCACTTCCAAAATCGACAATATATTGACACCTTAACTCTCTTGCTATATCAGCCGTTAATTGGCCCATGCGTTCAATTTCATGTCGTTTCTTTTCTTTGATCTTTTTCTTCGTTAAAATTGTGCAAATTTTTGGGTGTGTTAAACAATTGAAATCCTGTTTCGGGTTATTATTCGAATCTTTTTCTTTGGAAGATTGGTTGTTTTTAGCCGGTTCCTAATGAAAAAGAATGATATACTTCACTGCAAAAGGATCAATTTGGTGACAAACCTTAACCGGACTCCTTGAAATGCTAAGTCTCTCAAGAAGTTTTCGCAAAGCAAGTAGTGACAGTGGCCAAAGTGTTTTTTCAGTTTGCTGTTGTGGTCCAATAAGTAAATCGCTTAAATGTTCCGGTGGAATGTTAGATAATGTTTTAATCCAAGATTTAGGCATTTTCTCCCAGTGATTATCCACATAGAAGTCCTGAAAAGATAGACATCTGATGTAAATACCTGTTGAAGAGAAAAAAAAAAAGATCTAGCATTGTTTAGCTTACCAAAACGTAAGAATCCAGAAGCCATTTGAACAAATTGATAACTTTAAGCGAGTCCGTCAGTTTGATTTTGATATTTACCATTTCATTTTGATTTGGATGCATTTTTCAAGTTGAAATTCTCTGATATAAGATAGTGATGGATTAGTATCGTGTGATTATTTACAAACAACGTTCAACGTTGAACTTGAAACCACGTTGACAGTTCGCAGTCACTGTGTTATTCGTGTAATGAGGGAGGTGTATACACGTCAAAAGCGCCCAGCAAACGGATAGATGAATGCGTCTGCGTTAGACGGAGAGGTATACGATTCAATGGAGAATAATTTTACTATGCGTTTGTTGATGGTATGGTACGTACAAAATACATATATACATCTTATGTGTGCACGACACTGAACCGAATAGAACGATTTTATCATTCCATTCTTAGAAACATTCCAAAACAAAACAAAACAAAGGGAGGACTTGACTGTATGATAATGGATGCGAAAAATGTCTACGCTGTAGTTGACGTTTTATGTTATAGAGTCAGATGCATGGTAAGATGACTTCAGTCGTAAATGGTACTTGTACACACGAAGCCACCAAAACCAACAGGCTTTGTATGGTAACAACGGAGAAATGTCATATTATCGCACAATCTACCGTATCAAAAGCAAAATATGAACTTTGTTTAATATTTATATGTTTAATTTAATTTTTTTTTTAATGATTAATTTTCAACAAATTGTGGTGCTGAAGATTGTGTGAAACTTGAAATTAAAAAGAAAGTGGTATGGTAAGAAAATATAACTTATTGCCAATCGATTCATAGACCATTGCTAATGTGACTTGACAATTTAATTAATACTTTGGTTTGAACTATATTATATATATTTTTAAACCAAACTTAAATTGATTTGAAATATTTAATGAATACTCGTTTCTACTTTTAGAAAACCAATTGAACATTTGAGAGCTGTTGAACAACTGTTTTAAACGCGCATCAATGAATTGCTATTATCAACAATATTGACATACGATAAAACTTTATACAAGCTAAAGTTTTTCCGGACAACTGTTTGCCAAACAAAAATATCAATAAGCGGACATAATGGTACCGATCGAATCAATGTTTCGCTTACTTGTATTTACCATTTTACTAGCATCAGTGAAATTCTCTACAACAGAACAGGTAAAACACAAAATACCTAAACTAACATATGTTTTGCGACTTCCAATTCAAAATTTGATATGGTCACTATACAATTTTTATTTTTCTCAATTTAATGCTTTCTTCTCTATTTCGAAATTTATACATTTAGTTTGACGTTGATGAACAAATTTCTGATGTAAATCCAAACGACGGGACAATTCAAAAATACGTAGAGGAGCAAAGCAAAGGATGGATTGAGCAAGGTGACCAACGTCAACCCAAAGTTAATGTCAAACTAGAATTAACCAAATTGAACATTTGTAAGCTGTGGATGAACATTCAACATATTCCTTTTTCGTTTTTTACCTTTCCGAATTTAATTGTTTATGTTTTCAATGTTACCCAATGTCTGTTCTTTTTTATTTTGTTTTATTTTATTCATCCTTCAGCTCATGCGTGGGATAGCTCTTGGCCAACAAAGACGCGTCAATTAGGAAGTGTTAGTGCAGTTAGTTTTGATAATAATGGAAATGTTGTGGTATTCCATCGCGGTGATCATGTTTGGGATGGTTCATCGTTTAATTATGATAATGTTTATTTACCGCGAAGCAAAGGGCCAATTGCAGCTAATGCGATAATTGCATTCAATCGAAAAACGGGTGAAGTTTCATACGAATGGGGGAACGGGATGTTCTATATGCCACACGGTCTAACTGTTGATCATGAAAACAATGTGTGGGTAACGGATGTGGCATTGCATCAAGTCATGAAATTCAGTGCAAACAATCGAACGAAGCCGGAGCTTATTCTTGGCACGGCATTTCAACCGGGAAATAGTTTGAAAAAATTTTGTAAACCAACGGCAGTGGCATGTCTGCCGGATGGTGATTTCTTCATATCGGACGGATACTGCAATGCTCGTATTATTAAATATTCACGGACCGGAGAACGAATCCTCAGCTGGGGACAGAATTCATTCTCAGGTATTGCTTAATTCATTTTATTTGTCTTCAATTTCTAACTGAGATTTAAAAACATTTAACTGATTTCATTTTTCAAATTGTGTCAGGTCATGCATTTGATCATGCTCCCAGGAATTTCTTTGCTATTCCACATGCGTTAACACTTGCGACCGATTTGGGTTTGCTCTGTGTGGCGGATCGTGAAAATGGACGAGTTCAGTGTTTTCACACGGACAACGGAACATTCCATTCGCAATATCACAGTGGAATCGTTGGTGATCGGCTTTTTAGCGTTGCTTATGCTCCAATAAACGGTGGCCAATTGTATGTTGTAAATGGACCACTATTGGGTCATTCAGCTGACAATGCGGTTCTAGGATTCGTTATTCATATGCAATCGAACAAAGTTATCGCGAAATTTGGGCCAAATGACGGTGTTTTCGAGAATCCACATGATATTATCGTAACGCCTGATGGCAATGAGGTAAAAAAAAAACCATAGGATATTTTCAATATCAATTATCTATTTTGATGATTTACATACACTTCGTTACAGATTTATGTGGCTCAATATGCTCCCAACATAGCTTTCAAATTTATGTCGAAAACTCCGGCTACATCGAACGCCATTAAAACTTTTCCAAATAATTCGGCACTGAAACCGTCGGTTACATTAGGTATATACACTACCGTGCAATAGTTTGGAACCACTAGGTATTTTTCATACAAATTGACCATTTTTGGTGGACTCATTAACATATTTCGGAAACTCTTGATATTTTGTGCATAGTTTCTAGAACGTTTCAATAGTAAATCACAGAGGTTTCATCAAAAAATATTTATGAATTTCAAAAATATAGCAATTTGAATTTGTACTGTGTGGAAAATGATCAAATTTGTATGAAGATTAAAACAGATCAAATTCAAATTGATATATTTTTTAAATACCTGAATATTTTTTGATGAAACCTCTGTGATTTACTATTGAAACGTTGTAGAAACCATGCACAAAATATCAAGAGTGCAGGTGTTTCCGAAATATGTTAATGAGTCCACCAAAAATGGTCAATTTGTATGAAAAATACCTAGTGGTTCCAAACTTTTGCACGGTAGTATCTCTTAAAATAAATGATAAATGAAATTGATTCATCCATTAAATTAATAATAATTAAAATGTGTCAATCATTTTCCTGGAAGATAATAATACGATGACATCGAGTGAAACATCGGAATTGGAAACAACAGCGACTGATGCACAAGCAAGTCAACAAATATTGTTCATAATTGGTTTGTTCATATCGTTTATTTGCATTACTTTGTTCGCTGTATGGGTCATACGTCGACGGAAACTAGGTAATTTTAACCACGCACAACACACAGACTTAGAATACAGCAAATTGATGTCAAAGTGTTAACACAGACAGTCCCATCACAATACCTAACCGCATCACTCACATTTTTTTTTAGTTTTTCGTCCACATTTCTTGCTCATTTTGTGATCTTGATCGTTTTATAGTTATAACGTTTAATTTATAATTTAAGTCTATCCTAGAACAAATTTCCAAGATTTTTTAAAAGATTTTTTACAGAACGTATTTTGCATGCATTTTTATTTTCGATCGATGATTATTCGAGTTAGTGACAAATTGAGTTTATTGCAATAATTTTGATTGGAATTTTGCGGAAAACTGGTGAAACAAAATTAGGCATCTTCAATTTGTTAATTGAAGCTGTGAGAAAGAAAATTCTCAAAAGTGAATCTTGAATGAGCGCTGTGTTGAAGCGAATCATGAATTTACGCACACGTACCGATACTCGTGGTTCACTGCTGCTGCTCAAACATTCATGATTCACTTTTGCGTGTTTTCAGAATGTTTATTCCTGTATTGCCATTTTCATTCTCACAGCCTCAATGGGAAAGAACGGCAGCAATGCAATTACAGCAATTACAACATACACACTTTACAAAATAGAATGGACTTATTGAAGGTTTTGTCTATTCATCCACTTCAGTATTTTAAGTTGAAATTTTAAATTCGAATTTTTTCATTTTTTTTTAACTTTATGTTTAATTTCCATTAATTGTAAGGGAATATGTGGTACATGTGGAAATGTGAATGGATGTCCATTTTTGTAGTGCTATATTTGTATCAGGAAATTAAACGATTATATTGAAATCATCAACTTCGTTTTTGTTTTTGACCATTTATGACATTCCGTTTTCTGTTTTTTTTTAAGCTAATTGAAAATATAACTCTATTTCACAATTTGAAGCTAATTTAAAATTTAACTGTATTTCAACTGCTGTGGCTATCGTTAAATGATTGCAAAATAAGATTCAAGGAATCGGCGACGACACGCTTGGGACTTTCCAACAGTTAAAACTGACTTTAAGCTAGGAAATTTGCTGGAACGAAAAAGAGGATTTGAAAAATTAGATCAGGAAGCCAGCGATGAAGAACCAAATTCAAGTACAAACGCTCTTCTATCGAGCGCACAATTCGCATAAGTCTTCTAACACAATTGTACAGTTTTTTTTTCTCTCTAGAAAATCTCAAACAATAACTCGAACACAAATTCAATTGTTTTCTTTTTTCAATTCAATTGTTATGTACCCAATCGAGCATATATTTAATATTATAGATTATGAATAAGACCAAACAAACTGAACAAATAAAATATTATAATTTGTAAATAGATGCAAATAAACTACTTTATTCCTTTCATCCGGCAGAAGAGTACATCGTTGGAAATACTTATATATTGATTTCTAGGTAAGGCCTAAATGGAGGACCTTCAACTTTGAGTTTAGTCTGGATATTCTAGATAGGGGAAATCTGCCCAAAAAATAGGATGGTGTGTAAATTGACCCTTCGGAAGCTCTGATAAAACTCTCTAATTCCAGCCTTTCTGATCATGAAAATAGTAAACAATATAGAGCCGCCTGGGGACTAAGTGCAATGTGTCATACTTTCAACGTTTGAACTAACACAGACGCGTACTTGTTACAGCAAACTATGCGCATAATTCTCTATTTCTCCAACCAGTCTCCAGGTGCCGCTTTATTGTTCTTGTTTGACGTTTCCTATCTGTTTGTACAGACGATCAGAGAGGCTATCTAATTTTATAATGAATATCACCATCAAAAATTGAAGTAATTTCTGAATTTAGTTGAATATGTTTTGAAAATGGAAACTATTATTACTTTCATTGAATTCGAATTTTTTTCTGGCACAAAAATAAATGCTACAACATTTACGTCTATGAAATATTTTACATACCTGGTAAAAAAAAATTGATTTCTTTCTAAATTATGCTGGACAATGGTTGTATGCTGATTTTAAGTAAACGATTTCTATGATTTCTCACATTTTTATTTATGATTGAAGTAGTAGGAAAATGGGGATTCCTCAGCAACTCTTGCGTCAACCGCATGGTTGACGCAAGGCTGGCGCAAGGTCCTTGCGTCATCCATACAGTAGCAGTGGAAGCGCGTGCGTCAGCGAAGCCCATACACCGTACATCATTCACTCACTCGCTCACTCACGCATTCAATCGTTTGCTCGATTGTATACTACATCTCTCTCTCTCTCCATCTCTCTCTCTCTCTCTCTCTCTCTCTCTCACACGGAAAAGATAATACTCATTCACTTTTACATTCACACACAAAAAAAAACCCAAACATACTTTTTTTTTCATACGAATCAAAACAAACGAGCTTTGAATGCATATGATTGTATGTGAAATGGCATATAAATGAATTGAACCGGTCTACCTTTATATCGGCTATAGCCGAGACGATAGAACGGCTGACTCACACACCCATGATTGAGAGTTCAAAACTCTGAATGAAAATTATTTTTTTTCTGTCTCTCAAATCGAATCATGTACAATGCAAATCGAACAAAACATATATAAATTCGATTAAGTAATGATCATAGTGTGCGTGATTTTTTTCACTTCAAAGAAAAAATATACACAGCTGAAAATTTCTGAAAAACTAAAAAAAAAACAAATTATGAATAAAATTTATTCAATTTTCAATGCAAAATATTTTGGATGATTCCTTCGACCAATTTTATTTTCTCCCATAAATCGTTTCAAAAGTAGAAAATTGTTTTTATAAATACAACACTGGAAAATTTTGATACATTTACTTTTTTTTAACCATAGAACTATGTAGCTATGTTTGATTATCTGAATAAATTCGAATATAAATAGTTAATATTAGTCTATATGTCTAACTGTAAGTGGTGATCTGCATGTGCGAAATCATCTTTTTGTTTTTGTTGTTGTTGTTTTTGCATGTCAAATATAAATATTTATAATAAAAATTGTTATTATCATCATCAATTTTTAAATTCATTTTTTTTAATGAAATGTAATAACTGGCGGATTATCTCGAAGTTGCCAGTGTCGACCTTTGTTGGTCGAATTGACATCTCTTTCATATTTCACGCACCTTCCGTGGCCGAAAGGCAAACTAAATGCTGTGCATTTTTGCTTGTATCCGAAGTAGGCGCATTGTGGTACACTAAATTTGAATGTAAAATCTATTACGTTCTACAGATTTACAGGCAATAACATATTATTAACTATACTTAATAACATAATAATAACGGCCGATATATTCTTCCAACATAACATAATAATAACGTTATTAAGATTCAGCATAATAATAACATAATATGTTATGCGTTATATCGGGTGTTATCTTAATAAATCCTAAGATTCGGCGGTAATAACATTTTATTAACTATAATAATAACATATTATTAAGATGGATTTATTAACTCAATTAATAACATATTATTAAGATACAATCTTAATAACGCTTTTTTCGCGCATTTTTTTCGCCGGAGCACTGACAAGTTGTTTTTTCTCTGCGGAGTACACACATGAACTTTTTGCACTGTTGCAAAGAAATTAAAATGACTCTTTGAAACGGAATTATCATGTATTGAACTTAACCATTAAGTTTAGGAAATCGCCAGTCCCGACCTTGCATTGTTATAGGTGTGTACATCGTACAGTGCTTTTTTTCTCTCCAGCTAGGGAAAAGAATGCGCGAAAAAAGCGTTATTAAGATTGCATCTTAATAATATGTTATTATTATAGTTAATAAAATGTTATTACCGCCGAATCTTAGGATTTATTAAGATAACAGCCGATATAACGCATAACATATTATGTTATTATTATGCTAAATCTTAATAACGTTATTAAGATAAAAACAATCCCAACATAACATAATAATAAATATGTCCGGCAATAACATATTGATAACATATCGAAAATGTAAATCTGTATTACGTTCTTTACAATTCCGTATGTATTTTTTAAACATTCAAAGAATGAATTGTCACATGAACAATCACTTAGAGTATATCTCGAAGGATTTTCTAAACCTCTCTGAAACGCATGTGGTTGCCAGGTAGTTAAACATTCGTCGTGGGTTTTGCAGCACTGATCGATGTAACCAAAATAACCCAATTCCCCACTTACGCTCACATTTCCCGGACCGCAAAAGTTCAAAACTGTAAGAGTAAACCTAGGGGGATTTAACTACGTGAAAACTTGTAAAAAAATGATATAAACGCGCACGAAATTGTTACATTCACCAGAGAACTTGCATGATTCCACTCAGTTGACAAGTTCCGTATTAAAACAACATGCGCGAACGCGCGCGAGTTCGTGTGCAAACTTGTAGCTGGACGACGCGCACACATCAGTCGTTCCATTTATTATATCTGGATTAACTTTTTCTTCAACACTTTCTCCAGCTCTTTAAAAATATTTCCTTTGTCCATTTTATAATTATAAAAATCTTTGAACTTTTGGAAAGGATGTGAAAAATCTTTATACACGTAAACAACCGATTTTTAGCTTGAAACGCGTTTTAATTGTCAAATAACAACTTGAAAAACGCGCAAAACCATAAACAAACTTGTGTAAACTTGTGACCGTGCGCGTCAGTACGTACAAGGAACGCGTCGAACTCCCGCGAATCAAGCAAACTGGCAAAAAACATGCTGAACTCGTAAGAGTTAAATTCCCCTAGGAGTAAACGAAGTGGTTAAAAATTTATTTTGACATTCGGATGTGTGGCAAAATTCTGCGATTAGTAATACTAAGAAAAAACACTTACTCTTGGGTATTGGTTGTTGTAACATTTCTTCATTACAGTCCAATTGGGTGAAACCTTCGGCCATCATCAATACAAAGAACAAAAACAATAACTTTGAAGAACACATTACTTAACTCACAATACGACTAGACTGATAGAAAGTGATATGACTATAACTTATAGTCTATAAGTAATGAGACTGTATTTAAACGATTTGTCTGGCCTTCATTAAGCTCATTCTTACACGTGCCGCATTTTCGAATGACGAACAAAATTGTTCACGTATGGCAAATGCGAAATAAACATTTCTATTTACCCGACTAAGTGCAATATTTGCCGTTGTTCATTTTGCTGCTTGGATTTATAATATATATCTGTATTCATTCAGTGATTTGATACAGTTTGTTTTTGACAATGACGATGAATAGTCATATTTTTGTAAAAGTTTTTTTAATGTGCGGTGCATTGTGCTGTGCGTATGCATATCCTAGTGCAGATAACTGCAAATGCAGTAAGTTTATGTTTTTTTTTTTCCTTTTTTTTACTGTGTTTTCAACTTGCAATACTGCGTATCAAAAATTGCATTTTTGCGCTAAATAAATGCATTTCACCATAAAAACTTAAACTAACAATAGAAACCGTACGAATTTTTACTTGGTACTTTTGTACCAGACGGATTTTTTTTCTAAAAAAAAATTCGATAGTAATTATCAAACAGACAGTTCACAATTTATAAATTGTGTTGAATTAGCATATTAGAAAAGCTGACGGACGTTGTTAAATGAATTGTCAAGTTTTACAATCAATCTAATTTATTTTTATTTTTTTTTTTTTCCGTCGTTAAACATATACACTATCCTTATGGACTTTGCATTTTATTCATCTGTGTATAATTCATATTACATACATAAAAAAATTCATTTTAAATTCATACACCATTTAATCAATACATGTGTTTCATACATAAATTCCGACACCGAAAAGTTGAGAGAAATATATGCCAATAACGGTGATTTTTATTGAATAAAGTTTTTTTTTTTGTTTTTTGATACGTTTAAAATCGTTTTCATCTTTGACAAAAATTGTGTGTGTTTGTGTGTGTAAGTGCATGAAAATATGCTTGTTACACAAATTAAAACGAAATTTGCACACATTGGCTTTGTGGCGCCAAAAAGCGCACTGCCACTGATGATCGGTTGAAGAACACTTTTCACAAACAAAAAACTAAATAAATACTATTTCGAATTTTTTTTTTCAACCTTTTTTTGCATATTCTATGTTGTTGCTGGTAAATTTTTCTGTTTCAATTTCAATTATTGACTTCTATCTAAAATCAAAACGTATATATTATTTGGTTTTATTTATTTTCATTGTAACAATCAAATCGTGTTATAAATGCACACCCATATTTACCTCATGCTGAAAATAAAACCGCTATGGTAATAAATTGAGCATAAGTACAGTGTGCAATTGAGTTGCATACAATTTTTATCTGTTCAGAATCGTTTGTTATCCGATGATTTGCGAATGCAAATAAAAAGAAAAATTTACTTTTTATCGACAAGCATGAGGAAGAGAGATACGTTTGTAACTTGTTTATAATTGTTAAAATGTGCGATATATGCCATTGTATATATACTATAAAATATATGCATAAAATGGTCGTTGAATTGAGAGATAGAGAGAGAGAGAAGAAATAAAAAATTGGAAAATTAATTTAACTGATGAGCTGAAACAAAATGCAAATTTTCTAAATTCTATTTTATCAATGGTTTTTGAGCCCGAACCAATGTTCAGAAAGCAATAATTAAATACGAATTGAACGTGTAAATTAATTTTCTATATTTTTTTCTTCTCTCTCTCTCACACACACACACACACGCACACATACATACGCAATCCCATGTGAATTACAGAACGGCTTTTAAGCATTTTATGGACAATTACACGAGTCTCAACTTACTTATTCAGTGTATTCTGCAATTTTTTTTTTTTAATTCATTTAATTTCATTTTTTTTTTGCATCTGTTTTGGTTTACATTATTTCATTGAAATGTTTATGAAATGTTTCACAAAGAATATTTACTAATATATATGTATATAAATTATATTCATGATGTATAACGAAAAAAAAACCATTTCAACATAAAAGAGAAAGATAATTAAATCTTTATATTTCCGTTTTTCTATTACACAATTTTTTTCTTCTCTTTCGTTTTGATGAATTATATATAAAAGAAAATCATTATGAATAGGCCAAAAGAAATTTCACCAGAGCAAAGAGATTTGTAAATGAAATCTTTTCTTTTTTTTCTTCTTTTTTTTTCATGGCAAATAATTTTTTGATAAAATACAATGTAGAATATATAATTAGAATGCATTAAACTTAAAAAACTTCATCTAATAAATTATATCTAGGCCATTTTTTTTTTGTATGTAAATCTACCGGTAATGGTTTCTTTTTTGGACGATTTTCTATTCGACTATCTTCAATTTATTACTTTCCGAATTTTTTTTCGCGATTTTGTTTGCCTTCCATTTCTTCGTTTTTCTTTTACATTTCTCCAATTTTTTATTCTATTTTCTTGTTTTTTTTTCATCCTCTCCTTCAACTTTATTGTGTCAGAGACGTTTATGGGCAAGTGCCCCATGCTCTTTACACTGACTTTCTGAATACTTTTGTGCTGTCCGCATTTGTATAGATTTCCGGCATAATTTCTTTAATTTTAACGGATGACATGGATTATTATTAAGTATTTTCATTATTGTTTTTAAGAAATGGGACATGCGAATACAGCATTCAACGAACATTTCCAGAAATGGAGATTGGTAAGAAACCCGTGGAGGGTCGAAATACATCAATTCGACCGCTATAGGTGCAACGGTGTTTTATTATCCACGAAACACCTTCTCACAACAACAAAGTGTATTTTGCCATACAAAGGTGTTCCCGCCGAAAATTCAAATGGCGATGAACTTCCAATCAGCTTTTGGTAAGTTATTGTATACAAACTTTCGATTCATCTAAACCAAAACTCACTCAAATCTCTTCATTTTTCCATTTTTTTATTGGATACAATAGGCTTCGTTACACGCTGATCCACATCAATTCCAAAATAAAAAGAAAAGCAAGATATGTTTACATTCATCCCGAACACCAATGTAATCCCAATGAACTTTTGCCCGCAATTGTTGAAATGAACGAAAGCATTGAATTTGATAAGTGGACACAACCGGCAGTCTTGCCGCCAACAGCACTACAAATTCATGAAAGAATATTACCTGTAGCGATTTCCTACACTAATATATCAGTAGTCACTACGAATAAGATGAACGTGATGATTTATTCAGATGAAATATGCGAAAGGATGAATCCAGGGGAAAATGGCAATAGGCTATTGTGCATAGACATTGAAAGCATTTGCTCGGACTGCAATATATGTGAGGTAAAGCTATGCATATATTTTATCATCTAAAATCTAATCTTCTAATCCAATTCCCTTTAACCAAATTTCAGTTTGGCATTTTTACGGATCCATTATTTCACTTGGCAGAAAATGACACCATGCTCCTACTTGGACTGGCAAAACATTGCAATCGAACGGCGAAACTAATCAATGTGAATAGTGGCCTAGAAGAGCAAAGATCATCGGCTGTTTATATGCCAATCGGGGAGTTTCTGCCTTGGATTCACAATATTATGCATAAAACATGTCCTTGCGAAACGACTTATCGTCCATTGATCCAGGACGTTGAGGCAATAATTTTTGAAAAAAAATGAATCAACGAAGAGACGTTTGTGTCAGCCCAAGTTACGGCCGAAAAGAAATTGAAATTCATTTAAAGCAAAAAGTCGCTCGTTCGACATACAAGCAAACAACAATTTTTGTATTATGCTAAGCTAAAATATTAAAGAACTTAGTGTGAGAAAAAAACTGTTTTCATTTCAAAACAAAACTTTATTTCAGCACATTTGAATTTGTTCGGGTTTTTCAATAATTTTAAACGCTTGTGCAGTAAAATCCACTTGTGTATATGCCTTAATTTTTTTTTTCCTTTTCACTTGGATTTGGCTTGGGTTCTACTATGCCGATTTCAATGCAAATGTATTTTTCACACTTTCAAGCATCAAACGGTGTAATTTGTCGATTTGAATGCCGTATTTACGCTATAATCTTTATTGTAATGGTAGTGTGAATGGTAGACAATACGGTAGACAATACTGTTTCAAAAACAGTAACGAAATATCGTAAAACGGTGACAGAGACGGCAGCGAATGTTTGTACATGAAAAAATCGCTCTTCGTTTCCTTTATGTTTTCTTTTTTGAATCGCCAAATGCTATGCTGTACTACCGTTTACAGCTAAAATGGAAAAATGTGAATGTCCAGAAAGAGCTGTCGCACCTCGCGTTATAACAGATAGTGACTATGTTGACTGCATCGAAAAGAATTGTAACATCGATAAAAAATCTAAAGTTATTAAAAAGTCTAAAGGTATCAAAAAGAATATAGTGAAACGTAAAATTGCATTTAGCGATTATGTTGACTGTATCGAGAAAAATTGTAATATTTTACGTGAACAGCATAACCTTCGCTCGAAATCACATCAAATATTCACAATTAAACAGAAAAAAAATGCCTTAAATCCGTTCGACGATAAGCGTTACCTTATTCGTTCGAATGGTATTGATACACTAGCTTGGGGTCACCATGAAATTGGTGAAATTGAGAAAAATTATTGCTGGTGAAATATAAATATTATAGAACTTTTTTACCTGATTGAATAGGTAGCTAGCTTTATATATTATAATAAATATACATAAATGTAACTAAAAAGTGAAATAAAAAGATTTATTTTTTATCAAAAATTTTCATGTGAGTTTTATTTATCGGTTTTTATAATTTTTACAATTTTCATTGCATATTTTATTCTTTTTTTATCTTTTAACCGTCAATGCGACAATCTCCTCTCCTTCTATCGGTTCCCATCATCAGCTAATTTATTATAACTACTATCATCGCAGTTAGCATCATCAGCATCACTCGTCTATTTGCTAGTATCAGCTTCTATATATCTATTTCTTGAAATTTCAATAGACATTTCCACAGTGTGAGTACCGATAGGGACTTCGAACATAGCAAAGTGATAAACTGCTCTGTTGGGAGTCAAAAATTCGGTTTTAATATTACGATTCCACCAATTGTAAAATGATAGTTTCGCTTCCTCTTCGTTCTCCTTTTCATCATCTGCGTTAGAGCTAGCAAACCTTTCACGTATGTAGTTTGTCAAAGTGAGACTACATACAACGAATGCAGCATGAACAGGAACGTCGAATAGAGCTCGATGGAATAGTTCGTTCTTGTTGAGATGATTACCGAGAGATAACTGCTCGGATTTGATTTCTTCTTGGGATGCGTTATAAAAAGTCAATGCTGCGTAATTTTGACCCATTTTCACGATCTGTCCTCATCAAATGTAACCGAATAACTAAAACCTTTAAGTTTATGCATTGAGTTTATAAATAAATGACGAACGCTGCACAATAGTAAAATTTACTCGGATTACTCAATGTAGCCGCCATTCCGTAATTTAGAAATTAATTTAACCATTTCACGCAATAATTGAGTTGGAATATGCAAGCTTTCGCATAGATGCTGCAATTTCCTACATATTTCATCGAGATCTTCTTCATCTTCTTCGCTCTCATCTTCATCCTCGTCATCGTCATCATACTCGTCAGCGGTATCATTGTCATTATACTCATTCTCATCCATTTCGGGTGATTTTTTATAGAGCTTGAGTTGATGGAACATTGGCAATGCGCGTAATTTTTTCTTAAATCTCTCATCATCCTCATAAGATACATTGTTCGATTGATTTGATTCATTATCGCTCTCGTTCACACTCGATGGCTGATTAAAAGTTTCACTTCTTTTGTTCGGTTGCAACATTTCATCATATTTATGTTTTTTACGGAGATTTCAAAACTGCGTTCGACCGAGTCTGGCATCGTAAACTCATCGAAAAAATTGCTCACTTCAAAATTGGACGTAAAACTGCCAAATGGCTATGTGACTTTGTCATCGATCGATTCAATTTTGTTAAGATTGGCCAATCCAAATCCAGATCATACTCGTCGCCTTCTGGTGTGCCTGCTGGAAGTGTGCTTGGCCCAATTTTGTTCACCATGTTCATAAACGACATAGTTGTTAGTGTTGAAAAATCTACGGTGCTGCTATTAGCAGACGATATCAAGATTGCAATGGAAATTCGTGGCACAACCGCAAATAACAACTCGAATCACCTTCAAAATGACATCGATAAACTCATCGACTGGTGCAATAATAATCGACTGTTCTTCAACAATCAAAAATGTGCAATGCTTACGTTATGTCGGAAAAAATCATCTATCGTCGTTAACTACACTATGGGAGATTACTTAATTGAGAGGAAGGAAGAGATTCGCGATCTCGGCGTTCTGATCGATAAGCAGCTACACTTCGGCCATCACATCGAACAGAAAACCATACAAGCGAGACGCATGATTGGCTGTATCAAGCATTTTTCAAACGGAAACTTTACATATGACACACAAAAAATATTGTATTTGGCTCATGTTAGGCCTATTTTAGAATTTGCTTCAGTTATATGGAGCCCATATCAGGATATTTATATTGGAGATATCGAATCGATACAGAAGCAATTTGTTATTTATTTGCTAGAAAATAGAAGAAATGCTACTTCATTTAGACTAACTCCATACTTTGATAGGTGTAAGCAACTTAAAATGCAACCATTAGATTTAAGAAGAGAAATTGCTGATGCAGTTATTGCTTATGATGTATATAAATGTAATATCAATGACGAATTTATTAGTTCGAAATTTGTGAGGCTTGAACAACGTCGTACATTAAGAAATAACAGAACACTTAGTGAACCTCTATTTGATACCGATTATTTACGTCAACAACCGATTGCTCGTATGATTCGTTGCATAAACAATTTCATAACACTTGTAAATACTGCTGGAACTAGAGACTCATTTAAGTCGAATATTGAAAAATTCTTGTCAACCCAAAGAGAAAATGTAAATACAAATAACTGATGTATTTTTATTGTAAAAATTTAAATCATATTCAGCCAGTTTTTTGGCGGTGAAATAAAATTCAATTCAATTCATCCATTTCGGGTGATTTTTTATAGAGCTTGAGTTGATGGAACATTGGCAATGCGCGTAATTTTTTCTTAAATCTCTCATCATCCTCATAAGATACATTGTTCAATTGATTTGATTCATTATCGCTCTCGTTCACACTCGATGGCTGATTAAAAGTTTCACTTCTTTTGTTCGGTTGCAACATTTCATCATATTTACGCTTTTTTAATAATGAAATTGTTGATTTAGCAACGCCATATTCTTTTGCTAGACGATTACCATTCACACCGTCGTTCAATTTGGCTAAAATTTCAGCCTTTTGCATTGTATTCAAACGCATGATGTAGCTATAAAGATAACTTTACTGCTTGAATGTTCAACTCGCACTAACTTATATCACTAGATGTTTGTTATTTAAATATAATCGAACCTTAATTCGAATTATTTTCATGAAATTGAACCTTTATTCGAGCTATTTTCATGAAATCGAACCTCAAATCGAACTATTTTCGTGTAATTGAACCTTAATTCGAACTATTTTATCGTTCTTGTTCAAACGAATGAATGTGTATGTTCTATCGATCGATGTTTGAAGAAAAAAAAAGATGCGATAAAATCAATTAAATCAATTAAATGAATAAATGAATGAATGAATGTATGTGTGTGTGTGTGTGTGTGAAATATGAGTTAATTTTGTTTATATACTTAAATTTGAATATGGAAAAAATCAAAAGTGAGAATTTTTATTGCGGAATATTGTAGTTCAATGTATTGGCTTTATCATATTCAAATTTCATTAAAATCGGTCAATATTTGCCCAACAAAATTAATGCTGAAACCAGTACAATTTTTCAACGAAAACTTCTTATGTTTGTGTTCTCCCTCTCTCCTATGTTAAAAAATATAGTATACCGAGCCGTCCGAAATACATTGCTAAAGCAATGTCAACTTTTCGCTTTTTCCTTTTACTTCAACTGCTTTTCAGATTGCTCACAGTCACATAAATACAATACTTTTCCCATATATACTTTTTCATACTCTTCCCATGTCCCATTCAGTACTGTTGTCATATAAAAATACATTGCTCCGTTTTGCATTACTCCTTCCTATGTTAAAAACAGCAGGCAAAACACAACCGAAATTGCTTTAGCAAAGTAACAACACCTTTTTCGCATTTTCCGCTATTTTCGTTTAAAAAACACTAACATAACACTCGATACCATACTTTTCAGTGCATTCTTTTCCATTCGCATTCGTTCACACATCTTTCGCCTATATGAAATACATTGCTCATACAAACGATGATGTGTTGCTGCCATTGCTGCCTTAACGGCGGTTCTGTCGGTTTCTCCATTCATAATATTTCGATTGTGTTATAATAAATGATGAAATAATTTTTTACATGGCAAGGGTAAGAGAGAGAGAGGGAGAGAGAGAGAAAGAAGGAGAAACAGCAAGAAAAAAATCAAAAAAATCATTAAGCTTTAATTGTTTACATTTTTTCTCCGCTGAATGATTCACGGTCGAGTGATAACGGTCAAATATTATGCAAAATCATTTGTGTCTGCATTTGTTGTTATATTGCAAATTGTGGGTGTGTGTTCTGCATTTTGGTCTGCATGAGAGAGAGAGAGATATACAGATAGAGAGAAGGAGAGAGACAGAGAGAGAAATACGGAGAGAGAGAAAGAAAAAGGACTAAGGAGAGAAAGAGAGAGGTGTAGTATACAATCGAGTAAACGATTGAATGCGTGAGTGAGCGAGTGAGTGAATGATGTACGGTGTATGGGCTTCGCTGACGCACGCGCTTCCACTGCTACTGTATGGATGACGCAAGGACCTTGCGCCAGCCTTGCGTCAACCATGCGGTTGACGCAAGAGTTGCTGACGAATCCCCATTTTCCTACTACTGATTGAACATACACGCTTTTCTGCACACAAAGTATCCATATGGAATTGATAAAAATTCAATAAATTTCATGCTCTTAATTTTATTCTTGATAAATCAATAAATTAGCTTAAAGTTAACACTTGTCTTGTTCATTATCGCATTACCTGTTTCTTTATTCATTTCTATTCAGTATCATAACATAACGATTGCTTTTTTTAAAAATTGGATCGTATGGGCTATGTCGGCAATTTATTTCTTGCATATGAAAACCTTTTTGTTTGTCAGTGAAATTGTGTGCAAAATTTGTGTGTTTCCCTAAAAATATTGGATCTTTATTTTAAAAAAAACGCCACTTCGTTACGTCGTTTTTCTTATAGCGAAAAAAGTCCATAGGTTTTTATTACATTTTTTAATGATCAACCGTTCGGTTTTAAACAATTTAAAAAATGATGATGTTATCCAATGGAAAACTACCTAAGTCCGTGAAATCGTCACAACATGGTTCAAAGTCCTTCCTTTATTGAATTTTTTTCAAACCTTGAATGGCTTGAATGAAATAAATTGCAGAAAATCCGAACAATTCGTGAAAAATTAAAAATTGAAATTCAGGTATGTATTCGTGTTTAACAGACAATTGGGTATATATATATATATATATATATATATTGATATCAGACTTATTAGCTAGTAAGGCAAACTTTATCAAAAAGAACAGCGTGAATAATTAGACCGTTGGATTGTCTGTTAAATTAACTAATCAATTTCAAAGTACACTTAAATTTATCGTAAAAAATAAATTATTCAGACCATTTTCAACAGCATGTTCAGATGTTTAAATGCCTCATTTCAACTTGAACGGAAAGAAATAATTGTGATGTATTCAATTTGTCTTCAAAATTTGCATTTTCAATTTGTTAAACCACCAAAAAGTCCAATTTTAATGATGTTTTTCTTTAATTTTCTTTTTGTTTTGCTTATAAAATACATCAATACAAATTTAGGCCAGAATGATCGAGCTGGTTTCATTCAACTTACTGAAGTCAATGTCGAAGCGGTTGCTCAGATGCTTCCTTTCAAGAATTTTGCAATATTCAACCAAAATTAAAAAAATGAGGCTAAAAGCCTTGCTTCTATTTAAAAAAAATAATTGAATGATATTGATTGCATCGTTTCTTTCTTTTGAATATCAATTAATTTTTGAAATTCAATCCATTTGTGTCTCTTATTAAACATAAAATTTGGATTTTTCAGATATCATTTTTCATTTAGCACTAAAAAAGCGTTACTCTCCTAGCTTAATTGATTCGCAATACAAGCCGATTCAGCTATATCCAGCAATAAAGTAAGGGCAAATCTGAACTGAAAATAGTTTATTGGATAATTGAACGTATTTGAATTGAATTCTAAACATTAATTGTTCCATTATTTGTTGCCGTGTGTGTGCCAAGCTCATATCGCACCGTGTTGGTGCAATTATTATTTTGCGCTTTTCGAAAACCCAAATCAGCTACAAAATTTGCCTATGGGAAAAGTACAATATTAATATTGTCAAAAACTATTTCAATTTTTTTGTGTGGGAAAAAATGTATTTTAGTTATGTGCTTACTATTAATGAGGCGACAGTAACACCAATTAAGCCACCAGCAAGTACATCAGACCAGTGATGTTTGTAGTCCGATATTCGGCTCATACAGGTAAACCACGCCATCATTATTAAAACGTATTGCAAAAAGTGTTTCAATAGTCTTGATCCTCGCCATGTCATCCTCGCCTGAAGGTAGATCTGTATCACAAAACGAAATTTGATTCAAATGTATCCGCGTCATTGCAAAAAAAGAATAAAAATTGTAGAGCAATAGTACTTACGGCACAATAAAGCATTGTGTAGCATGAGAAGCTTGAGTGACCACTTGGAAATGAGAGGTGCACTTCTTTGAGTAATCGTTCTCCTGAATCACCTAAGCACTTGAAATTCTCGATGTATCGGCCACGGTTAATATCATCAGAGCAATTCGTTCCGTCCAACAGTATCGGTTTACATACCTAAAAAAATGCAAAAATTCAATCAGATAAGAAGCATGGTAATAAAATTAGTTTGGTCCCTCGTAACAATCAATCATAGCTTAACAAAAATACCATTATGTATGAAACAATTTCATGCAACGAGAGTTAACCTATAGTTTTGGGTTTTAAGATTTCACCTAATCGGCGTGAGCGATAAAAATTATAATTCTCGCACTTCTCACAAACTAGTTTGGATACAGCGGAAAAGAGGAATTGCTGTAATTGCACTCGATTCTATCTTTCAATCATCTTGAAATACCATTTTTTTCATTAAATTCTAAATATTTGGATAAAGGCGAAATGTACACGAATGATGGCTGCAAGATCATAGCGATTGGTGGCTTTTGTAGTTATGTTTTGGTTCAGTTTGGTTTTATTTCAAACATACGTTTTCCGATGGCTCATCAACACTGCGCTCTCTGTTTGTGTGTAAAACTCTCTGTTTGTGTGTAGTTGACGTAGCTGTGCACATCAACGCACGCCACTTATACAGTGACTTGCGTCGTCGATATGCTCGGATATATCCGCAGATACGAAATGCTGAGGTGCTGAGCCATCGGAAAACGTATGTTTGGTTTGGTTTGGTTTCAAGGTGGTCTGTGTAAGTATTTGTTATCTACTGAAGCACTTACATAAATACGCACAATTTAAACCAAACATAAATACTCATAACAATCTAAGATTTTTTTCTCATTCACAATCAATGTTTATGCCACGATCCATTTTTAACAAATAAACGAAATGCGATGCCAGCCGTTTTTCCCGTTGTGCACGTTTCAGAGATTGGCAGTTACATGGAATTAGTAAACGCAACAGAATTCCCTGGGTTGCTTAGGCTTATAAACATAATCGACCACAATTAGATTGTATGTATATTGTCCGGACAAAATGGGGAGTCATAATATACGTATTTTTGACTATTACGTGGGTTGCTGCTTAAGTTTCTGGCCTAACCTAGTTCTAGTGTTTTCCGAAGCAAAACTTTGGGTCAGTCAAAAAGTTTGACCTTTTTTAAGCTAAGTTTCCTCAGACGTCAACTGTTGATTCACTACGGATCGTGGTGTTTTATGAGCTTGAATATTTCAATTTGATGAAAAAATTGAATTTTTCCGCAAAAATTTTAGTGCAATGATTTTTTCCGATTTTTGAGAGGGACTAACTCAACAAGAGTGCCGTGATAGCCTCAAATTCGCTTTGGGTGATAAAACTCGGTCCATTCCAAGTATTTAGAGGTGATATAACGATTTTAAATGTTGACGAAGCTCACTCAAAAATGAGTCCGCAGGAAAGTCGTAAAATATCAGCTGTAACGCCGGAACACATTGATGCTGTGCGAAACCTAAAGGTGGAATATTCTCATACGACTTATAGTGAGATTGGGGCATCCTTTGGCATTAGTATGACATGCATGAGGTCAATATTACATGTGGTTTTAGTGACGTAAATGCCTTTCACATGTCAAAACCTCCAAATATGTTTTCAACCAAAAAAAAGAGTTTTGGACAAAAATAGGCCTACAAACTCTCAATAATGCAATTTTGATAGGCTGAAAAACCCTCAATCGTCACTAGAGATTACAAAATTATCATTTATGAGTATAGCATGTCATCCCAGAAGGTTTTAGTGATAGTATCGTGTTTGAAAATAACAGAAAATTTTCCTTATTTCTGAAAAAACAGACGATTTTCGCAAATTGCAATGCTTCGTTCTGGGAAAAAATGATTTACATGACTGTTATTATACTTTGGAATTGTAGTGCCATGAATTCTGAATAAAGCGGACATTTTTGGAATGAAAATATTCAGAAAATGGGCCAAAAACTGGGAACTATCTGTCACTTCATGAATTTTCACCTTTTGACATGCCTTCATTCAATCGAATATTTGCAGGCCCAAAATATAAAATAATGGTTTCGTTAGCCAGAAATTATTAAATTGAGGATAAACGAAGTTTTTTAGGTGGTTAACAACAGAATAATCAATTTTTCCCATATCGAAAAATGAAGTTTATTGTTGAAATTTACGATTTTTCCAGGTATCCCTTGGAAAGGAGGCTTAGACACACCCAGTAATGTAAAACAATCCCTGCTATAGTGTTTTTTAGCCTAAAAAATGTCAAACTTTCCGATGGAATCGTCAGATTGCATCTGAAAACACTAGAAATAGGTTAGGCCAGAAACTTATGCAGCGACCCTCGTATCATGATTTAAAAGATTTGAAATTTTTTGTCTACTTTTCTCGCATCGGTGTTGAGCATGCATAGCGAGATCCTATCACTTTCGGCCCTGTCGGAAAAAAGTTAAATTGGAAACGGAAATTCTAATTGAATGCGTGATCATTCGATGTTCATGCTGTTCAGTCAATAATCGGTGCCTTTGCATCACTCATCTTTTTGTCCATTTTATACGCAATAAAATCACGAACTGTTTTAACGACACCGTTTTAACTTGCCCCTTTTCATTTGTTTGCAATCACACGGACACAATTTTTGTGGCAGTGGCCAATAGCAATGGTCAAATTTGCAAGGTCAGTTAAATTCGGAACGAGCTGTGCACAAAACAACAGTTCCATCAATTCAGTTCAGTTCAGTCCAGTCAACCGTAACTCAATTGCTTCCGGTGCGCTCTCATTATTTCTTCTTCGCGAAACAAAACAAAATCGCGAAGAACACTCTTAAATCCAAAGCATTTATGACTCACTAATCCGCAAATGCAATAAATATTTCTTTCTCTCTTATTTTTCTTTTTGAGCCGATTGATGCATTACGAGAACGTGCTGAATCCAACATTTTCAGGATATGATTCATGGTAACAATTATATTGTTACATTGCAATGCCAACAAAAACCGCAGTTAAAATAGATTTACCGTAACTAAGTAGAGAAACATGTGCAAAACGAATAAGCGAAAGAGTAATTGAGTGAGCCCAGGATCAAGTGCTCTTAAAATGAGCGCTCAATTAATTCATCTCATAAATAGGCGATCAAAACAGAAGCGATATGTAAATGAATTTCAATGAGTGAATAAGTAATTCAATTTGGTTGAATCTGAGTTGCACTGCGTGATACAATACGAATAATTTGCTAAAATGCACTTATTACAGTATGCAGAGGCAAGCAAATATTTAAAAACACAAGCAATGTGCACACCAATCTATGATATCGCGTAAAATTATCCATTTTAGCTGCGGGAGCGCACGTACAGCGAACAGGTTGCAAATATAATAATTGTGTGTACTGTTTGTGATGTGTCTTTTCAAAACAAAGTGACACTGCAACTAAAACAAGTTAGTTTTGCCCATAAGCATATATGAATTTGACTTTTGCTGGTTAAAATAAAGGCACACGCACAACAATAACGTACGAAAAAACACGATCGAACGACAATATATGAAGGAAAAGACGAATGAACAAAGAAGATCACTTTTTTTCAAGCAGTTTACACGAATTGATGTGCGTTTCTCAACATTTTATATCAATTATACGATGTGTGCTCATAGGTTGATATATATGGAATCTGAGCAGCCGACGAATTGAATAGCTGGTTCCCATAGATCCAAATGCGGTATTTTCCGTGGCTGTATTTTATTTAGTTAGCTATGTCTATAATCAAAAGACATTTAAAAAAGAAGAATGAAGAAATGAGAATGGAAAATGAAATGAAAAACGAATCAACAACATAACCATTTCGTTAAGAGCCATTGAGATTATGGTCTGCCAGTAAATTAAATACAAATGTATTTTAATTTGGCTTCATTTTCTCATTTAGAATACGCGCCTTCCGTAATTTCATTCTCGTTCGGTTGTAACACATGTTTCAAGTGCTTTTCAAATTCTAGTGTCGAGAGTTCAAAGAAACTTCAAGGGAAAAAGGAGAAATTGAATATTCAGGAGTTGTACCGTTTGCAAATCCGATCATTCGCATGTTTTTTTCTTCTTCATCTTTTACGGAAAGGGTATGCCAGAAGTTGCAGTACAGGCTTTTAACTTTTTGTTCAAGTTTCAGCAAGCGTTTATCTGGCGGTTGTATAGCGAATGCATTTTCTTTACTTTGCTTTAAAAAAAAAAAAGAAATGATCTGACACACGGTATTTTTCCTTAATGCCATCATCAAAATGTTCATCTCATTTAAAATCTAATAACAGGCACGCTTTGTGTTCATGGTTTTTATCTTTAATTTTTCGTTGTTCTTTTTGCTGTTGTTTTGTTGCGTCGCCGATAAAACTTCAACAATTTATTGTTACATTGAATGCCATGATCTCTGGAACAATGATTTGGAAAACTTATCAAATGATTTGATCACGCCGGCATCACCGCGGCAACAAATGCTCCAGAATTATTTGCCTTCAACGGCAAGAAGAAAGCGCCGACCAAAATGTATTATCGTTGTTGATGTTCCGTGCATTACATACGCGGTACGGCTACATCCATTCGGCGCATTTGATTCGGTATTCGTTTTGTTCACTCCTTTATTCGACGATTTAATTTCGGCATCATTAAATATGCGCTCGTTTCCTAACCATCTTTCAATTTTCTCACTGCTTATCGCATTGAAATGCATACACAAGCCCAATTGAAGAACGAACGAAAGCATAGCAAAGATCATGTTTTATTCATTGTCACGTTGCATTAAGTGATCCAAGATACTTCGATCCTTTTCTGTGATAACTACTTTTATGTCAGTTTTCAACAACACTAATTAAATATTGTGGTGCAACATGCGATTTCCGATCGAATTTTATCGTAATCGCACTATCTGCCGCAATTTATCATTTGGTTAAAAGTCAATTCAAAAATTTGTCTGCACATATTCTTTCGGAACAAATCGCAAATGGGAATGCATGACAGAAAACATGAATTGTTATGCTATCACATGCTATCCAACAAGAAAAACGACACCTCGATGTGTCCGAACGAAGTAATTTGCTCAGGTATAAAATCAAAACGCGAAACGAAACGAAAATGAATAGAAGCGAAAAGATGGAATTACGAAAAGGAAGAAAAAAACGAAAAGAACACGAAAATGGGTAGAGAAAGAAAACGCAATTTAGTCATTTTTAACGTTAAAAGATGTAACGTTTTTAGTCCTCTTTTCTCGTTTAAATGAAATGAAATTTCATTGTAAACCAACTGTATGAATATTCGTAACGAGAGAAATGGTAGATTTTAAATTAAAGAGAAAAGAATTCTGTATCAATTGATAGTGTTCACACTTCCCGAAGCATTAATAGCATTAGCGTATGCAATAACATTCTATGATTTAAATTGTTCATGTTTTTGTTCATGTTTTGATCCAAAGAGAATGAACTGAATGGTAAGAGTATATTTTCAAATTCATTTCTTCTGATTTTGAACGATTACGTTATAAATTGTCCAGAGATCAAGCTCTTTCCAAGTTTATGCATAGTGTCGAACTTTTGTTCAAGCTCTACCATCTAAATGTACACTAAAATAATTTACGGGCACGACGTAAGATGGCGTTTTTTCTGGTCCAAAAAGTTGCAATATTCCTTTGGTGTGCATGTGATTTTTGAAATCAACAATCCATCAAGAAAAATTTCAATGTACATACTTCCATAAGTAAATAAACATTATACTTACATCGAAGAAATGCGGTCGCAAGCGTCCAATGGAATATTTGGCAATGTCGGTCGTCAGTGTGTTGAGGGCTGCGCCAAAGGCAAAGACACCGATTTGACGGTAAGCATTTGTTATCCAGGTTGGTATGCTCCATCCAAACAATTGCAACTTTGTTTTATCTGGAATCTTATTCAATTTGGCTTGGATGATTTCGGTGGCACAAATCTATACGAAAAAGATGAACAGAGTGCGATCACAATATTTTGAGAGGTAGATGAGTCGAAGAAAAATTTGATTTTTCAACCAGATTGTTACATATGTATTTCATTGGAATTCTGAAGAACAAGGTGCGTATAAATTCGTATGCACTATATGTCTTGAATTGATTTATGTGGGCACATTGAATTTTAACACTGCCTTGGCCAATCTCATCCCGAATGGTTAACGTATACTAAATTACTTAAATTTATGTCGTTTGATGTTTTCCTTTATTCTGAATCAACTTAAATTTCTTCAAATTTTCCTCGATTGAGTTAAAAATTCAAGACAAATCAGATATTCACCGGTCCATCTAAATCAAAGGTTTTACATAATACATGATCGAGTTTGGGTTAAGTCGACGTAGAAAACGTAATCCAATTTGATCTAACCTATAAAACGACAAAATGGGTCTGGAGCGGATTTCAACAGCAAAATCATATGAAATAAATCAAAAGATAATTCTTCTTCTGCTAATTTACTTGAACCGATTTTAATCAACAGATCAATCATCAATAAATTACTGCACCGAACGGCATTGATTACAACAAGACAGCAACAAAGAAATAAATTACATCATGTCCATGGAGATAAAACTAAACAAGCTAGTTGATGAAAGGAAAGAAAATTAAGCAAAAATTGGAATGGCCGTCGAGAGGCCATGTAAAATGGTCGGTGGAACAGCTGCGCGGCTAGATGAGATAGCAAAAAAAAAATGAAATAGGCTGTTAAATTATTCAAATAGGGAAAAAAACTGTTGGTGAAATAATGCGATCACCGGTTGAACAGCATGTTATTAATTTGCATAGGTAAATAAAGGATTGTGCTTCATGTGGTGCAATCAAGTAGTAGAATGTATGCACATTGCACATTACATTGCACATTGCACAGTGTATGCTTGTAGGTAAATAATTTGAAATATAGATAATAATATATTTCGCAAATTACGACGATGCCATTGAAACTAGAAGCACGTACAAATAAAAAGAAGGAGGAGGAGAAAAAGGGAGGAAAATTGCGTAGAAATCACGGCGCTTTGTTTTCATGCATTGTAATTTTCAAATTGTGAATTCGCAGTAATCATTTTCGACGTCAACATCGTCATCATCTTGAGTATGTCATTTGCAATGTATCCAATTTACGATTTGCACGGAGAATTTTCAAATGAGCACTGAACAACTCAAGCATGCGCTCATTCTAACTAAGCGAACAAAGAGATACTTTACGAAAATAAATTGTGCTCGCGTCTTGTTGGGTATTCCTGATCTCCATATAATGGCTTCACGTGAGCTTCCATGCAGAGGCTAGCAAAATCAATTTCACTGATAAAACAACATGTTGCCGTCAATTATTGTCAAGATTGCTTTGAAAAGTCGTCTCGTTAGAAGATATCACGTTTCTCACTCGTTCATTGGCATGAATCACTGAGGCAAATGCAACGTATAGAGCTGTTTTTTTTACGTTTACATATAGCTGTGCCATATTCGTATCTTAATAACCATCCTAATAATTTTGAGAGATTATTGAGATCCGATCATAATACCGATAAATCTTAATAACGCTATCAACTTTTTATCAGGTTATTAACTATATTCAAATAATAACGTTACCGGCTGAATCTTAATAATATCGTTT